GGCCAGCACAGAGGGAGGACGACAGTGTTCTTGGAATCCATAGCAAGTTGTGACAGAAGGGATGAGGCAAATTGGCTCTTGCCAAGAACACAGCACCCAAGGACTGAGCGCCCAGTTCCTTTCTGTTATTTCCAGTGCACTTCCAAGCTCCTTCCACAGGCCTTCTCTTACCTACACAGCCTTCCCCATCAGGTCTCCGTTGATACCCGGGTCCACAGATGCACATGTATGTGCCGATGAGGTTCTTACATTCCATTTGTTTCTCAGTACAGTCGTGTTTTCCCTCTTGACACTCATCTTCATCTGTAAAAAGTATGCAATTATACAATTGTAAGAGAAGCTGTATTACTTGCTTTTAAACATGTAACAGTAGTAAGTAATTTGCATCTATGTTATTTCAGGGTTGGCCTAACTTCCTTTTGCACTATTGGATGTTGACCTCTTAAGAATGGTAAGGAGTCTTCTAACCATCTTTGACCTTGATGACTGAACTTGAAGTGCTCCTCCCTAATTGACTTTAAGAAGCCTTATTCTATGCATGCCTTTCCTCTATCCCTTTACTTTATATCTTTTCTTGAGATACGATTTTTAATTCTAAGTCTCTTTTTAAAGATATAGCCTCACTATTTTACCATCCTCTGGTTTCTGACTTCCAGCTGGGACTACAGGTGCATGCCACCATGCCTGAGTCTTTTCTAGGCAGGGTCTTGCTATGTTGCTTAGGCTAGCCTCAAGTCATGATGCTCCTGCCTCAGCCTCCCCAGGTTCCTGGGATTTCAGGCACACGCACAGCACCCAGACTCAATAAGGGACCAAAAATTGAACCTGGGGTTCCCATATGGTCTGAGCCTGCAGAGCTCGGCATTTTAGAAGCACGTGCCACCACAGCTAGGCCAATTTATAATTCTTTTTAACTTACTGAACTAAAAAGGCCTTATATAATCATAATATAATGACAGTTCATAATATAATGATAATTAAAATAGCATAATTGCAATATATGATATAATAATTTTATCAACATTACACTCACAATGGATTGTAATATAATAATAAACCAAAGCTTTCATCGTACAAACATAACAACATAATAAGATATTGTTTTAATATGGCAATAATATAGTATTAGTATAATCATTATTTGATTTTTATACTTTGATGGAAAGATAAGCATCCACAAATATCTTATTTTCTACTGGTTTATCTCTTTTTCATTTCCTTTCTTCTGGGGTTGGTCAGGTTTCCTTACTTTGTGTTTTTTTGCGATGTCATTTTCTTCTTTCTCCTTCCCTTCCACATGCTCTCAAGCCATCTTGAGAGAACAGGTAATTTGGGGAGAGACAAATCAAAGCTCTACACGGGCAAGCCTCATGATTACCCAAGTCTGTACAATACAGCCTACCCTCGTGCTTTAGACACTGCAGATATTCAGTTAGCATTTTTCATGGAAATGGTTTAATTAAAGCTGATTCCCTCTGTTCCCTCATTGTTGGAATAGAATATTCTTTAGTGAGGGAATCTCCTCTCTTTTAATCTACTCCTTCCTCTGTGTTCTCAAGAGCACTTTGCATATATAACCACCAGAGCATCTCTCAGACTACACTATGATTACTTGTTTATAGCTCTGTCTCAATCTCTTCATATTGAGCTTCTTAAATGTGGGGAAACGTCTTTCTTTCCTATCTTCACATCTAGTGCAATGACTAGCATGTCACAGACATGCAGTGCACAGGGAAAACCAGTAAAGGATCTGCAGTGCAGCTACAGTTTAGAAGAAAAGGCGGCAGAGACAGCCCTCACATTGTCCATGGACTACTTATGTTCCCAATTCCCAGCCCTCCTCTACTAATGGCAGGCTTGGAGGGCCATCCCCCATCATAGAGTTAGAGCTCCCTGGTTTAGATGACCTTTAACACGATGGCTCACCTTTGCACATTCTCCTGTCTTCTCTCAGAACGTATCCCGCAGGACATTTGCATTCATATGACCCATAAGTGTTCACACACCGGAAGGCACAGAGCAGAGGATTCTGGGCACATTCGTTTATATCTGCAACAGAAGTAATAAAATAATGGATTGTAGACATTAACAAACAAACAAAAAAAGTAACTTACTTTTACCAAAAGTTAAAATGCCTCACTGTTATGAACATAGACGGATCAAATGTTCTCTCATTTTCAAGGAGTTATAAAGTGAATTTATCCCGCAGGACATTTGCATTCATATGACCCATAAGTGTTCACACACCGGAAGGCACAGAGCAGAGGATTCTGGGCACATTCGTTTATATCTGCAACAGAAGTAATAAAATAATGGATTGTAGACATTAACAAACAAACAAAAAAAGTAACTTACTTTTACCAAAAGTTAAAACACTGTTATGAACATAGACGGATCAAATGTTCTCTCATTTTCAAGGAGTTATAAAGTGAATTTGGTTATTTTATATAAGTGATAAGTAGGGTAACTATACACGTTGGTTCTTCACGCAGAGTCCTGGTTTGTGCTTATTGTCCTGATATAATTGCCCCTAATTTGTTAGGTGGGTAAGAAATTATAGGTCACCCTACATTCAGGGGACTTCTGAAATTTTGACTTTGAAGGTTCAAGTTGACCATTTGTCACTCCCTACCATTACATGGAGCAGGGATTATTTTTCCCCATTCAGCCAAAACAAATGCAGTCTGAACAGAAGTTCAGACTCCAATATTGCTAACCATTTTCCCTTCCCCATGCTAAGAGGCTCCTGTGAAGTAGTGATGATACTTCTGCACAAGCAAATGGTGTTCTGGGTCACTTTACACTTACAGAGATACTTAGTTCACACGATGCTGAAGGGTTAGCCTTAAGTAGATGGAAATAGCTTATCAGTCATGGAAAAAATGTGATTTTTATAGATTCCATAGTTTGGAACCATTGGAATTGTTGTAGAAAAGCAGTGTTGAAACAGACTATCTCAATTATCGTTCATTCTCCAAACCTCATGATGCTAAGAACATGAGTGAGATCCCATATCATGATCTACTCACAACTTTTAAAGATTCACAACTCCACCCACAGGTATTGAAAGGTCATCTGTGACGAAGAGCTCACTTTAAAACCAACTTCACCCTCTACACTCCCCACCAGGTCACTCCCCTTCATTCTTTTCTTAGACCAGTGGGTCTCAACTTGAGAGTGTAACAGATCATCTGGAGGGCTTTGGGGCCCCTCTGTTAGCATTTCTGATTCACAAGGTCTGGGACTAGAACTGAAAATTAGCATTTCTAACAATTTCCCAAGTGATGCTGATGTGCTGGTCCAGGGACCACCCTTTGAGAGCCACTGTTCTAGAAATGCCTTCACTTTTTCCTTCTTTCCATACATCCTACCAGGTTTGCTGATGGAGTATTACTTAAATAGTATAGGCAACCTCTTCTGCTGTAATTGCCTCCAAATGGCCACAGAATATTTGTGGTTATCTCAGTGTACAGATGTTACCATGGAGTTGAAAAGAAGAGAAAAAGAAGAAAAAGAAAGGGGACTTGGAAGACAGAGAAGAAGAAGGGGAAAATAGAGAATAAGAAAGAAGGCAGGACACAGGACAGGAGTTCTCTCCAAATATAAGTAGCAAGGAGATACCGATAAGAACTCTGTAAAACTTACAATGCAGCCTGTGCCATGAGCACTATACTCCCTGCACAGAGGAACCACACTGAGAAGAAATGATGGAATGGCCCATTAAGCCCAGAGTTTCTTTAGTCTGTACACCCTGAGGAGGCTTTAATATTTAGAATTGTAATCAACAGACTATTCCCACGATCAGTGCACATAACCAACCCTTCTGTGCATAAGAGGCTTACCTTCACATGTCATCATTGGTCCAGGTTCAAATCCTTCCTCACAGGTACACTCAAAACCTCCAATCACATTCTTGCAGGTTCCATTTCCACAAGGATTGCCCACGGAACATTCATCAGTATCTGCAAGTGACCAGGAGTGAATCCAAAACACAATGAACTGAGCTAAAATGGATATGGATTCAGATAATACCTTTCATTCTAACACAGCACTTTGATTTATAATGTCTTGTTTACTTTTCATTCTGTTCTTGAAATAAAGGAGTGCACATGTCTCATCACAGGTTTGCAGCCATGCAGTTCCACATGCTCAGTGACAGGGAAGTGATAGTGACAGAACACGGATTCCAGCCCTTACACATCTCTCCTCCATGAGCTACTCCAGTCTCCTACCTTATGAAGAAGTAAACCCTCTATTAGGAGCAGCAGAAGGGTTAAAAACAAGGCTCCTAACGCCAGTCAAAAGTTTCTGCTTGTTTAAATTACAAATACATCTCCAGTTGGGTCTTACATTGCGTCACTCTCCAAGAAGCCTTAAACATGGTGGATTCCAGCCAGATACAAAAGAGAAGACTAAACTTACACACAATAACAGGCCAGAGGTTAATCAAAATTAATACACTGGATAAAAATCAAGATTCAAGTTGATTTGGTTGATTCAGTTGAAACCAGGTGGTTTACATTAGACAAAAAAAAAAAAAAACCAGCATAAACTACATCTAGGGAATAATCTCTCAAAAGACATTGGAGAGAGTGTGAGGAAAGAAATTAAGGAGAAAAAATAGAGAGGCAAGACATTTATGGGAAACAGAAATGGGTTATTATCTGTTGATGATAAAGTGTATACTATACTCAACTGGTGTGAAGTGTATTCATGTTAGGTAAATTTACTTTATGAGCTAAGTGATGTATAGTAATTGAATGTATAAAATAAATTAAAATAAAAAACCAAAAAACAATAACCAGTTGTCACTTATATCAAACAAGAGCAATATAACCAATTATTGGCAAATGTAACCATCTGTGTATGTTTTACTGTCTGTTGAAGTAAAGGATCCTGGTTAAAAAAAACAAAACAAAACAAAAAAACATTGGCGAGACAAGTCAAACCAAGGACTCTAAAAACACATATGCCTCCTTACCCATCCACCCAGAATACTCACTATTCTTCTGACACATGCCTTGGGAAGAATAGCTTCCCTTAGGAAAGGAAAAAGTTTGAGAAATAATATTATTGCAGCTATGTAAGGCATAGAGAATAATGGACTGTCATCAATGTCGATGTATTGAGTCAGAAAGTGAAGGCGGGAGGGTATGGAAGAACAACCTCAAGCATGGAGGCTCATCTCTCACGTGTGTGGTAGCACTAACTGAAGATTCCAAAGAGGAAATGACAAATCTGTTTTTGTTCTGCTATTAAATTGCATTTCACTGTCATGAACATCCTTTCTCCTTCGTGTCAACAGAAATCCCAAAACCATTGAGCTTTAAAGCTATAATGTTGGTTAAAAAGAAGTTGGTTTACCTACATAATATTATATTCTAAGGCCTAGAAAAGCCAAAGAACTGGCTTTAGCCACAGCTGGGACCAAAATCCTTGTACCCCAATTCCTTTTATTAGGCTACTTTCTAATATACATAGACAAATCGTTAGCATGTATGCCATTTATATTAATCAGGTTACAGTAAGTTGCTTTGAAATTCTGAAATGAATACACATAATACTTGGATTTACTTGGAGTTAGTGTGGACTGGAGTCAAAGGTCGGCCATAGGTGTCATTCTTTGAAAACAAAATATTCTTTTTGAGAGATTTTTGCTATAAGGTATGTGCACTTGCTGGAGAGACAAAGACAGACAGACAGAAAACAAAGAATCACCCCATCCCCAAGGGGATGACCCTTCTCCTCCATTCTCCTGTCAGGATTTTGCGCATGCATGCACACATGCCGAGTATGAGTTTCAAGTCACTGGGTCCAAGACTTGAATCACAGTTGGCTATGTGGGAGTCCAGCGATGTAATCATTACATTAATCATCTGCTAGTTCCCATTCTTTAAAATGTTAATAAAAGGGTTAAAAAAAGAGGAATTTACTCTTGTTACATGGCCTTTCATGTTACTAACTGTAATGAAATCCAGATACATTTTTATTACATGTACTAAGAGAATATGATTGAGATCAAGAACATTTTCTTAAAATTTCCCAAAAACTTTCATTATGATGTCTTTTCATTAGCTCTTCAACTGTGTGCAGTATGTGTCTTCCACTAGAAGGTTCATGCAGGGAAGAACTTTGTCTGCTTGGTTCTCTTTTGTTGCCCTAGAGCCTAGCATGGTGCCTGGGCACATGTTGGTGACTCAGCTAATATTCTAAATGAAAGATACATGAATGGATGGACAAAACCATTTAAGTCCCATCTTGGTACTTATAATTCCTAGTGGTGTGCCTGTAGTTATAGCTTAATTTCTAATTTGTAAAATCCCAATGGCAGAAACAGACTTCTTACTCACCCACACACTCGTTCCCTTCTAGAATATAACCAAAGGGACATTCACAGCGATAGGAGCCATCTGTATTGATGCACTGTCCGTGTTTACAGACATCAGGTTCCTTGCACTCATCCATATCTTGAGCCAAGGAGGAAAAAAAAAAAAAACAACCAGTGAATAACATGATACTTAAAAAAAAATAGGTAAATTATGATGATCGTTTCTACATTTAATTAAACTGTCCGTGTTTACAGACATCAGGTTCCTTGCACTCATCCATATCTTGAGCCAAGGAGGAAAAAAAAAAAAACCAACCAGTGAATAACATGATACTTAAAAAAAAAAAAAAGGTAAATTATGATGATCGTTTCTACGTTTAATTAATCAACTATCTAATATTAGAATACAATAATACAATTGGTATCTAAATGAAGTAACAAAAAAGTAGAACTAAATTTTTCAAGATAGATGGGAAGACATAAGAACGACTGGAGAAAGGCTAGTGCAGAGGCTGGCTGAGAATCCTGAGGAAGGCTGAGAATCCAGCACAGGCCACTCACCAACTGCTGAATCATCGGGTCCCACGATGATCCCACTTCCATAGGGGCAGATCTGGCGGAAAGCCTCTGCAGGGGAGACACACACATCTATCGTTAACAGATAGACAATGGCAACTGGTCATAGGCGTCCCCCCTACGCCTGCCAGTCATTTCATGGTAGCCAAATCACCACATGCTGCACATACAAAAATGATGAAGAAAACACAAACCAGAAACCAGAGGAAATGAACAAGATTCTCAAAAAAGAGGTGCTTATTCCTTGGGCATCCTCACTTCATAACTAACAAGAAAATAACTACCTGAGAAAAATAATTTTTAATGAACATTCTAATTAGAGTTACAATGAAATTAAATTATCGTATTGTCTTTAAAGCCTACAATCGCATGTATTTCATGGCCAGTCTGCACCTTGAATGACGCAAAGAGAAATGCAATGACACATACCATCAGGTTCAGTAGGACAGAGCTCACAGGGATCTCCCCAGCCCTCTCCCTTCAGGGCACAGCAGCATTCCTGTTTGGAGTGATTTCTGGATTTGGGTGATGAACACTTTCCTCCTTCGAATTTCGCATAACAGTAGCTCATCCGCAGATCTGCAGCATAAATTTATGATACCTTTTAGTTTCTTTCCTACAAATCTTTATTGCACAATATGGAGTAAGAAACAGTCTACCAAGCTGGACTCGTGTTCGCAGCCCATTAGCACAGCAATACTCCTTAAGTGATGGTAACAGTAATTACAGGAACTGAATTGAGGTCATTAGTCACAGGCAACTTTCGTAGTGTGATCTGATGAATGAAAAAACCTGACGGGGCTTCAACGTTTTTTCTCAGTTTAGCCAATATTTAAAAATAACCTGATGAGAATAATAAAACCCAACTGTCATTTTCAAAATAAATCCATGGGTGCCTTCAGGTTCAAAACATTCACAAGATGCTTTCATGGATAGCTCTGCTTGGGTATGTTAAAAACATTTAGCAGGGGCCAGCAGGTGGTGTGGTGGTTAAGGCACTGGACTCCCACATGGCCGACTATGGTTCATGTCTCAGACCTGGCAGCTTGATTTCTTACTTTCTCTCTCGTTTTCTCTGTCTCTCTGGTGAGCATATGTGCCCTACAGCAAATTAAAAACAAACAAACGTTGAGCAAACACACTAGAGTAAAGGAGTCCTCCTAGTTTTGATATTTACTGTGATACCACACTTCATTGTTTATTGTGTTCTCTAGGCTCTGGACCCCAGATCAAAAATAAAGTGGCAGGGAACCAGCAGTTAGCGTAATGGCTATGTCGCTGGACTCCCATGTAGTCGACCATGGTTCGCGTCCCGGACCAGGTGGCTTAAAACTCACGCCAGGTGCGTGTGCGTGCATGCCCAAGATCCCGAGAGGAGAATGGAGGAGAAGGGATTGCAGCGTGACCATCCCCCCTGGGGGGTGATTTCTCACTTTCTGTCTCTCTGTCTCTCTCTGTCTGTCTGGCGAGCGCACGCGCCCTATAGCGAAAACCTCTCCAAAAAAATAAAATAAAATAAAATAAAGTGGCAGCTTTGTGGGCTGGCAAAAATATAACACAAGCGTGGACACTGAAGCAGCCATTCATGGGAGTTTCTGACTAAATAATACAAGTGGGGATTTTTGCTGATTACACACACACACACCACACACACACACACACACACACACACACACGTCAGTGTAAAATTTTCAGAAGCTTATTTAGCTCAATAGGAAGAAAGAAAGCAGGGTTATGGTTAGGCAGTAGTAGAACAAACTTTCTTTCAAAGAATATATTTCTTTACTATTAATTATTGCTTGGTGACTCCAATAATCAATTGGAATCTATTTTCTAAAGAATTTTTCAATGCTGCTTGACATAACTTTGGACTATTCCATTTCTTATAGAACAAATTGGGTGACTCTAAAAATGAGCTCATCCAGGGGTCTGGAGTGTGTTTCTCCTTGAATTTTACTTGCAGAGCTTGCAAAACTCTTCTCTCATTGCACAGAGGTGAAAGGGTGCAGGTTTTAGGAAAATGTTCTCATTTCCATGTTATACAATTTTTCTTTATGTCTGACCACCTCTGCTTTTTTTCAATCTTCTTGTTGCCATCCTTTAATCCCAGGAAGCATACTATCATAGCCTCCTGCATTTCTATTAAGACAATTTCACCACTTTCATTTCTTAACAAAGGAGGCAATGTCAGAATAACAGAGGAAGGTTTTCATGAAGTAAATTTAAAAATATCTATCTTCTGTCTGTCTGTCTATGTATCTATCATTATATTTTCCAAGCTCAGTGATTCACATTGAGTTGGTTTCCTCAGTGACCTTGCTCATCCCGTCAAGGCTCTCAACGCTTCTCTGGTTTCTATTCCATTTCCACATTGTTGAGGGTAGGACCTAGCAGGTACCTTTCAATGAACTTCCCTTCCAAGGTCAAGAGCAATAAAAATCAGCCCTCGTCTTGCACCTTATCTGCCATCCAAATGCTTACTTTACTGAGAAACTACAAGATGTAACAAACTATTATTGTTTGGAGGGCACTTTTGGATTTCCTTTATTTTTCAAATTCTTTGTCACGTACAATGTTTTATATTTATTGGTCTTGTTTTCATTAGTTTTAACTACAAATGTTTTAAGATATAATTCAGTGACTGCTCACACAAAATGTCTCAGCAGCTATGTTACAACTTAACTCTCTCCTGTATCTTCCAGTCTGTAGTCTTTTTAAAAAAGAATTAATTCTATTTATTATTATTTTTAATCTGTTGCAGGGCATGTGCACTCACCAGAAAGAAAGTGAGAAAGCAAGTCATCAAGTCCAGGACTCAAACCATGGTTGGCCATGTGGGGAGTCCAGCACTTTAACTACCATACCATCTGCTAGCCCCTGTAGTTTTTTTTTATACCTACATACATGTATTTTTTCATACTGGCATGTTAAAAAATTCTCATTCTCTTTTCTTTTCTTTTTTTTTTTTTGAGAAGTTTTTGCTGCGTGCGCTCGCCAGACAGACAGAGAGAGACATAGAGACAGAAAGCGAGAAATCACCCCCCAGGGGGGATGGTCATGCCGCAATCCCTTCTCCTCCATTCTCCTCTCAGGATCTTGAGCACGCACGCACACGCGCCCGGTGTGAGTTTTAAGCCACCGGGTCCAGGACGCGAACTGCAGTCGACTACGTGGGAGTCCAGCGACATAGCCATTATGCTAACTGCTGGTTCCCTCATTCTCTTTTCTTTAATCACTGACACTGTTCCAGACCCCAGCCCTATCTCCCACATATTACTTCACCTCACCCTACTTCAGAAAATCTTGGCATAGACAGAGATTCAAATTTATGAAGTTTTGTCAGCCTAAGTGACAAATGCCCTTCAATGTCCTTTTCAGATGGAAGCAACTCACTTGTACCTGTGGCTCTCAGGGCTAGGCTCTGTCTACCTGAGCCCCATGGCATTTGTTCCTGCAAAGACATTACCCATGGTTCTGTAGAATTTTCTCATTTCATGGGCAATAGAAGTGTGCCTCCTAATTTGTCACCTAACAAGAAAAGCCCTGCTCTTGATTTCCTGGCTCCAGCAAAATCTGTGCTGTGTGGGTGATTTGCTTGTGGTAATTCTCTAGAATTGGTTTATTACTCATAGGTGCTTTGCACGGGAGAAAGAGAGCTGCACTGGCCCACGTACACTAACTAGGGCTTGCTAGGATGCCTGTTACCAGTCCATCTGCAAAGAGCCCTGAACGACCTCTGAAATTTCATCAGATCTACCAAAGTCACTTTCCTGGCTTGCATTCCTCAATTCTGGCTCTGTCTCTGGGAGCAGAGCATGTGGCGGGGCTGCGCACAGCTGGGCTGATTCTTCCTGCAGTGTGAGCTTGCTCTGTGACGGGCCAGTGCAAATTGAATTAATAGCCTAGGAGTTTGCTCTGGCCTGCCACATCGGCAGATTCACACCTGGTTTCTCACTGCTTGCTTTCCAAACTCAAGGCAAGCCAGAGACATACAAAAACAAAGGAGTAGGAGTTAGAATTCATCTGGCCAGTCTGCACCATACAGAGCATCTGTTCAAATCAAGCTCCACTTTACCTACCACCCCCAAATCCATGGGGACCTCTGAGAACTACCAGCAAGATCAAACCAACCAGAGAATTCTCTTCTCCTTCATCCTGCTAAAATGACCAATTCAAAAGGAAGAAGTTTATCAGACCATGAGAATAATAATAGCAAGAATCTACGGAGCACACAGAAACTAAGGGCTTTGTCATGAGTTCAGTAAAACTGGTTGGTCAGGTATGACTGTTTAAAATGAGAAAACTGAACTTCCAAAAGATGAAATGACTTGCTCTGGGCTAAAAAATGGCAAGGTTGGTCCCCCAGCCCCCAAATTTTGGACCCTTAAATGGTATCCAGTGCCTCTTATCTGGTAATATGGAAACAAAACAAACAAGCAATACCTCCTCCTCCTCCCCCACACCGCACAAAAAACCCCAACACAACACTGAAACAACAACAACAACAAACAACAAAAAAACACCAGGTGAGGGGGGGAGAAGTATTTGTGTTTGAGGGCCCCATGACCCGTGAATTCAATAAACTCGTTTATGTAAATAAAATAGATAGCTTCACACAATGGCATTGATTAAGGAAGTCTGAACAGTTTTCTGGAATTTAAGTACCTACTCTGCTATGCATAAACTCAGGCTCCTGATTTATTTTTAATTTGAAAGTCAATGTGGAAAACTATTGAAAATCTTTACTGAAACAGTTGGTAAGTATTATTCCTGAAAATGGACGATAGTCCAGTAAGAATCCTGGTTGGTCCATTTTTCTGTTTTCTTAGAGAATCTGTGATGTCAGGGATGGGTACTGTATCTCGGGGCACATGTATTACTGGATGTTTTTCTGTCTAAAGGTCAAGGTGTGGGCCTGTATTTTTTCAGCCCACCCCTCTCCCAGAGGCAAAAGATATGTAGCTGAATTTCCCCCAGGTTTGCTGTCTCGGTGTTTCATGGTGAGTCCCTACTTAAGGATCTACCATCATCTGTGTTCTCAGGGGGGAAGAGAAGCTTAAGTGCCAGGATGGCTGTATAAGCAACCATAATTCAATGGATGAATTTCTAAACTTTAAAAGTGAGCAGCCAGTGGGTGACATGGTGGTTAAGGCGCTGGACTCCCACATGGCTGACTGCAGTTCGAGTCCCAGACCTGGTGGCTTGCTTTCTCACTTTCTCTCTCTCTCTCAGGTCAAAATTTAAAAACTAGTAATAGTGAAAATAAAATAAAATAAACAGTTTGTAAAAATATATAGTGAAAATGAACCTTCTGCTATGTGGTAGTCATTAGGCTGAGGGAATGAAAAGTCTCCATTTTCTAGTCTACCAAGAATCAGAGCTTTGCTATGTTTAAAAAATAAGACCACACCATACAAACCCAGAGTAATTAAAGTTCAAAGCCTTCAAAGGCACTTACCTTGGCACCTTCTTCCCGTGGAGGACAAAGAGAATCCTTCTGGACATAGACATTTGAAGCTGCCTTCTGTGTTACTGCATGTGCCCAGGGCACAGATTTCTGGCTCTTCAACACACTCATCAATATCTGAAAGAATTACACATGTCCAATAAGGTCAAAACACAATACAGACACCATCAAGTACTAAATGTAAAATCTGAAAGTCAAAGTACAACTGAATTTCAAAGCTCTTTGGAAATAATGAAGATGTTTTTCTGATGGTGATGCTGTGAGCTGGACTGGTAGGTTGTGATGACTTTCAAAAAATCAGTTATGACAGTTCTTGATGCAAACATAGAATCTGCAAGTGCCTTCTTTCTATAAGATGCAGTGACAAATCACTCTTGCCTAGACTGAGCTGTTTCGCTGATGAGGAAAGTCAGAGTAATTTCACATCAATCTAGGGTGAGAAAGAAACAAGAAACTCCAGAGTCCCACTTCATCATTGTAGGTAAGAGGAAATGCTGAGATTTTAAGCCTGTTGACAGAGTCATTCGATGTGAGAGCTGGGCCTTTGAAGCAGATGTAGTCCCCTTCCACCCATCCAGAGAGCTTTTCCTAACACCTCATGCTATAGCCCTAAAACTGCAACTTTTTAAAGGACATTAACATTCATGAAACAAAGTATAATCCTATGTAGGATAGCACAGAAGATAAGGCTCCTCACTCTGATTTGCAGGTTAATTTTTCCAAAGACACAAGAATACCTTTACTTGGGCAGGCTGATGTTTTTCTCTAATCATACATGTAACAGACACTGGACACAGAATTGTGGTGTATTTTCTTTCAGATATTTAATATTGGGTTGTCAGAAAAGTCATGATACATTTTTGCATAAAAAAAAATGCCATGACATTTCCAATGACCCAACACATCTTCACTCCTAGGAAAGGAGGTCTAAAGGGGCCGGAGGTGAGGGGTGGTCTGAGTGGGAGTGTGGGTAACCATATGTCATAATTTGCCTGAGATGGTCTCAGCTTATGTCTATTGGCCTGATTTTCTTAGTAATAGCATCACTTTTCACTTCCAATATTGCATTGGTTTAGCTAATATATCACTTATGGAAAAAGTATGGCCCCTCTGTTCCAATACACCCACCCATCCTTTCTCCTGACTTTCAGCAGGGACTTTTAGTGCAGAAAGTAGTTAAGTCTTAATTCTGAGCCATGCTATTTTTATAGAAATACTTTCTTTTTCAACTAAACACAAAACATCTCATGTGTCTTGGGTCTCTTTATTTTCACATGTTTGTACCAGATCTACCTACACTAAAATGCATTTGCATTATGCAACATTATTCCCCAGCGGTCCAACTAAGGAAAAGTTAAGAAATGAACTCTATTTTCTTGACTTAATATTGTAAACACTATACAGTGAATAGTCTAAAAACGTTCAATGTATAGTGGTGATCTTCCTGTACAATGCAAAACCAGCTTCTTTATCATTCCATGTTATTAAGTTGCACTTATAAGGGTATCCCTGTGGTTTGTTAATGAAATTAAACTATCACTGATTGAGTTACTTCATTTCCACATAGTTCCTCTACCCCCACATCTAAGCTTTTTGCAAAAAAAGTTAACTTTTATAAAAATATCTAAATATTCCTTTTTGGTGGTTGTCTTTGTCATTGTTTTTACAATTCTCTTATGGCGGAAGTTAGTCTGTAGGAGCAAAATTCTTAAGAATGGGGCAAATATTGTCAAATAAGTACTTTATTGACCATTTGAGAAGCCATTTTTCTTTTCATATATCTCCATTCTATGCGTTTTAGGGGAGTTGTGTATTTATCATGGAGTAAACAAAACCAAGCTTCGGTAAAAACTGAAATAGCACTTAATTTTCATTAAGACTTAATTGATAGAATACTTCCATTTTACACAAATTCTCATTGACATTAAAAGTAGAGAAAATGAGTACACTGTGGATTAGATGCAGACATGCTTCAAGAATGAGACATGAACTAACTAGGTGATTCCCTGAAGATCCTTTCAATTCTATTTAGGTATGAAGTTCTGGCAATTCATGTCCTTCACTAAATGCAATGATACATGTACTGAGATCAAAAAGAGTGTCATACTATAGAATTTTCTAAGAATTTATTTGTAAAAATACATTTTCATTGCTCTATAGATGAAAATAACATAGACAAATTATATACTGCATTCATCCAAATTTAAATGTGATCCTTTAAAGACTTTAACTGAAATCAGAAGCTATTTTTAGCTTCAAATTATTGCCACTTCAAAACATGTAATTCAGGAATACTGGAAGTAGGGAACAGCATTTTCACAAGCCATCCAACAGCCCTGTGGGAAAGACTGAAGGTCACGGGACTAGCCATATGCACAGATAAAATAAGTTCATCAGAGAGTAACCTGAGAATTCACTGTTCTTGTCTCACCAAGAGGATGAAAATGTAAGTTGTACCCCCACCCTCGAATTTGCTTCTGATAAAATATTCCAATGTGAAGACACCATAAAAACTCTGGATTTGGTAATCCCAGTGCACTGACTTTTACTGCTCATTTCCAAACATAAACAGCCTTCCTACCTTCACACTTGTCATTTTGCAGACTGTATCCAGGTGGACAAATGCATCTGTAGGACCCATCCAAGTTTTGACAGGTACCTGGTGCACATTTTCCGGGTTCTAAGAGACATTCATTGATATCTGCAAAGAAAATGGAAAAAAGAAGAAAGCAGTTTTCACTGGCATTATCTCCATCAAGCAAATAAAATTCTAAAAGCTAGAATCAAATAAAAGAAATACATAAAGCGAATTAAAGTCCACGAAATTTCACCAGGGCAAAAAATAAATGACTGCATAAAAATAAGCCTTGCTATTGGCCTTGAAAATCATGCAAATAGTTTATTTTACCTACCATAAAAGAAATATTTTCAGAAAAGTGTAGCATGTGAAAAGGCATTCAGTAAGTGTAAGGATTTTATCGATGCCCAAAAGATTATATAGGGGCTTACCACAAAGGTGTTCTGAAGAAAAAATAAATAAAAGCAGAGGAATCACAATTCTTCGCAGAACAATCAATCTGTTTTACTGTTAAATGGAATAGTTTGAATGTTCTCTGAATACAGTAACTTAATTTTTAAAAATAAGAGAAAAAGTAACACACACACACACACACATATAACTTTTAAAAAAGACATACAAAATCTTTATAGTCAGGTTAGTGTACTAGTACTCTGATTCTTCCTCCTGACTTCAGAAGGAAGGATTAGGATGGGACAGTGTGACTCTCTGGGAGCACTCTTCCATGGTCTCCCAGAACCCAGTACTCACCCACACAGGTCCTCCCGTCTGGAGCCACCTCGTAGCCTTCATTGCACTGACACTGGAAGGACCCTACGGTGTTGATGCACTGGCCATTTCTGCAAAGGTTCCCATTTCCAGTTGCACATTCATCAACATCTACAAAAATCAATCAATCAATCAATAAATACCCTTTGATATATTCCAAAGAAAATGTCATAATCTCAGCAATAATCCAATCTTTAAAGCCAAAAATGTACTTATTCTGAATTTCTGTAGCCTTTGCTGACTCAGCCAAACATAAGGAATTCCAGTAAAGATCTAGTTTGTAACAACAGACTGGGTTTTCAGCACCTATCCAAATCTGACAACAATTCCATTACTATAGTCGAGACTGACAATTTGCATTAGGATTTGAAGTCCATTTCCTCTTGATCTTCCATTAGATTTTATTTTTAAAGTGTAAATCTGATTCACTAATAACACAATTCAACTGAGGGCATTATTTAGTATAAGAAGTCAAAATGTGCCTCTGGCACAATATAAAATTTGGTTCATTACTCTTGCCTAGAATGTTTTATAAGGAGGATTTTATAGATTCAACAGCTTGTTTCCTTTAAGTGAGGTGACAGCGAAACATTTCAGCAAGAAAGCACACATTATTTCTGAATTATGTAATTTCTATAAAAGAATCACTTTTATTTATTTAAAAACATAATTGATTCCATTTACTTATTCACAGAAAAGGAGGCATAAAAATTATAGCTAATGAGCATTTTAATAAAAACAACGGATATAGTTATATATGACATTTAATTAGCACATTACATTTGACAAAGCCTATAACTAAGCGTTACATGTGACATGTATTTTTTAAAAAAACCAGTTGGTCCACTAGAGATGCTGAAAATGACAAAGGCTCCTTATAAAATGACTTCCTTTAAGGGTGCACCGTTCTGCACACTCACCGATACAGTCGTTGTTGTGAGACAGGATGAAACCATGGTTGCAGCGGCAGTTGAAGGAACCAATTGTGTTTCGGCAGGTTCCATTTCCACAGGCATCTCTTTCACATTCGTTTATGTCTAACAGGGAGAAAGGTCATAGAGAAACATCATTATTAACTGAAAAAGCAGTTACGTGGCTCTAGGGTTAAAGAGCATCTGGGGGTTCACAGCATCTCATACGTAGGTTGAGAACTTGGTGATGTTGGCATTAGCTCCTCCACGGGTACCTTCCTGTGAGAGACCACAAGAGGAGAAGTTCTAAACCTTGGGAATAAGTTGCTTCGTTGATTGGCATGTGAAAGAAGGCAAACTAAGGACATGGGAACTGGACAGAAATTATTTTATTCTATTTACTTCTAGAATTCTCCACTCTTGCCACTTTTCTCAAATATTTTCACTTGAAAATGGAAAAACTTCTGTGCACAGTTGGGTCTTGATTTGTTGCCACCTCTGGCAAACTTCAACCTCTCTGATTCTCACTCCAATTTACCAAAAAGCAGTGACTCACCCGGCATTACCCCACAATCAGCAACAAAATAACTGAGTTTCTAGCTCACCTGTCATTTTAGAGATCTTTCCTTTTACCAGTCACCCCTAAAAACATGGAACTCCTACCTTCCATGGCTTTACCTTACTCTTCTAAACTATTCCACGGGGATGTACTTAATATGGGTTTTCTCATACAGTCTTAGATTATCATTTGTCTTTAGGTCTATAATTTTTCTCTTTGATCACTTTGTAAAACTTTTCATGTGTCTAATATATGTTTGCATCTCTCCACAGCAGCTAGCATCTTTCTTATACAGAGTTGGTATGGGGCCAGCAGGTGGCATGCTGGTTAAGGAACTGGACTGTCTCATCGCCTACTGCAGTTCAAGTCCTAGACCCAGTAGCTTAGAAGTCGTGCTGGAATGCACGTGCATGCCTGCCCAAAAATCCCAGGAGGAGAATGGAGGACAAGGGATTGCAGCATGACCATCCCCACTGGGGGTGATTTCTCACTTTGCCTCTTTCTGTCTCTCGCCAGTGAGTGCATGCACTCTATGACAAAAACCAAAAACATGAAAAAAAAAAAAGGTAGGTATACATTATACTAAGGGGGAAATAAATTGAAATGGAAGACAGTTGATGCTACTGGTCTGAAAGAGTGAGACACGATGAGAAAGGACAAGGGTGAAGGGAGAGGGAGTGGAAGCTGCATCTAAGGAAAACTAAATGTTAATGATTAGAGTGGGATTTCCCTTCCTTTCAAATTTTAGACATAAGGATACATTATTTGTGACCCTGAATCAGGGAACTATTGCTGACCCCACAGTGACTGTGTGTGTGTGTGTGTATGTGTGTGTGTGTGTCTGTGTGTGTCTGTGTGTGCATGTGTGTGGTTGAAGGAGTCATTCTACCAGCAATTAAGAGCTCCTGCTTTGATTCCAGCCAAGTTGGTGAAGTTCTTTGGTAGGGCAGGTTCTTTGATAAGGGGTTCCAGAAAATTCATAAAGAAGGAGCAATAAAGTTATTTAGGGTCTCATAGTTGTGCACAGTCAGCTGCCCAATGATGAGCAGAGTTGGTTATGCTCCTTTATTTTAAAGTTTGTTATCAATGGGGCTGGCAGGTGGTATGGTGGTAAAAGGCATTCGACTCCCTTATGGCTTACCACAGTTTGAGTCTCGGACCTGGCAGCTTGCTTTCTCACTTTCCCTCCATCTTTTTCTCTGTCTCTTTCTGGTCAAATTAAGATAAATGAATGAATAAATAAAATTTAATAAATAAGTTAAATAAAATAATTCTTTAAAAGATTTGCTATCACTCTGGAAATGGCAATATTTTAAGAGAATGTTCCCTGATGGGTGAATCCATTTATAGCCAAAGGCAAGCCCCTTAAATATTACTCTATTAATTGTTCTCCCAATTATGAAACTGATTCATGTTGATAAAGTTCCTAAAAGAGTTCATAGAATTTGTCTTAAAGTAGTAAAAGAAAGGAAGAAAAGGGAGAAAATGATTGATTACACATTTGAAGTGTATGCTACCTCAGAATTTTGACAATACTATAACTAAGGAAAATATTTTAAATCTTGAGCTCTATTTTTTTCCCTAGAATAATGAGTCTAAACTTCTTTTTACCTCTGTATTGGGTTGCTAGAAAAGTCAGAATGTGTTTCTCATGCAAAAATGTGTCATGATTTTTTCTATGACTCAACAGAATCTACAATTTCGCCTCTGAGGATCTGATACAAAATAGAGACCCTCCTCAAAAAAATATTCATACTCACACTCAAAACCTGAACTCCGTTACAATAATGTGAACCCATACACAAATATTAGAAAGAATAATAGGTTATTAACATGAATTAAAATTAATTTTTGTCTTAATAGCTTTCTCAATAACTGACAACCAAATGAAAAATCAAGAAGAGGTTTATTATACTCATATTGCCAAAAATTAAATGGGATATTACTGCTGTATACCTGCTTAAGCAAAATCATCACTGAACGACCTAGTATTACATTTCATATATACAGGTGTAAACACATTTTTCAATAGGATTAGGGTAGGGTTTCCCTTCGTGAAGTAAAACATGAAAAGATAATCACTTACCCAAACACATGGTTTGATCAGCATTTGTTTTAAAACCAGTGTGGCAAAGGCAATAAAAGCTTCCAACTGTGTCAATGCACTGCCCGTGGCTGCAAATATTGGGAATTTCTTGACATTCGTTGCGATCTGCAAATAAAAAGCATCGTAAGTGCAAACTTAGAATACAAAATCCTACTGACTACGTTATTCTAGCTATTGTTCCAAGGAGTAATCCTAGCTCTAATCTTAGCTCCTAGAGAGAGATAGACATAACACTGTATTTATTTTTCACTCAAAAACTGGTTGCAACTTATTTTCACCTACCTGGTATATTCGGAGTATATTAACAATATATGAAAAAGGAAAAACGGGCAGTAGCCAGAATGTGTCTAAGATGAGAATACTTAGAACGAGAGAGAAACATGCTGGGAGGTTTTTCTGTTTATCTGCCTAAGGAGATTCACAATCTGTGGAATTAATGGAAGTATTTTGTCTAGTCAAGATTTGGTGACTCAGATGATGGGCACTTCATGGTTTCACTCGAAAATTTATATCAAAGTCAAATAAATTCTGTTGCTAAGATAAACCTACATTGATGGACAATCCACACTGTTTTTCATTCAAGTTTCACCTCATTATTTTGTCTTACTTGAATAATTTTTCATTCTGAGTGTTACTTGGAAAGAATGCAGCATTCTCTCACTTTACTATCTATCCTAACAATGTTACTTTCTCTGTATTCATCTTCACCCACAGGAAAGTCCTCTCACTTTGCTTCTTCCAGTCTTCAAGCATAAAATTGTATTTATCATCTGCTAAACTTCAGTTGCTTTTCTAAAATATGATGCTCTGAGGGGCAGAATTTAATGCATGAAGTCACAAATGACATAACTTCATGCTTAATTATGTCTTTTTTTTTTTTATAGGTCTCAAGACTCAAGTTTAGAGTAAATGCAATTTGGAAAGCATTGTATCATCTTGATTTTTCTACTGTCAGAAAACAAAGTCAATAGAGTGCCATTTTGCTGCAAATGTCACATATGGCCTTCTCCTGGTCAAAACAATAATCCAGACGCACTGCACCTCGAGGTAGTGCTGGATCTGGGAGTACGCAGGGAACCGTATCCCTCTTCTGTCTGGTTCTCACAAGGACATACAGAGTGCTAAGGATCTAAGAATAATAATAATAATAAATAAGTTAAATAAAATAATTCTTTAAAAGATTTGCTATCACTCTGGAAATGGCAATATTTTAAGAGAATGTTCCCTGATGGGTGAATCCATTTATAGCCAAAGGCAAGCCCCTTAAATATTACTCTATTAATTGTTCTCCCAATTATGAAACTGATTCATGTTGATAAAGTTCCTAAAAGAGTTCATAGAATTTGTCTTAAAGTAGTAAAAGAAAGGAAGAAAAGGGAGAAAATGATTGATTACACATTTGAAGTGTATGCTACCTCAGAATTTTGACAATACTATAACTAAGGAAAATATTTTAAATCTTGAGCTCTATTTTTTTCCCTAGAATAATGAGTCTAAACTTCTTTTTACCTCTGTATTGGGTTGCTAGAAAAGTCAGAATGTGTTTCTCATGCAAAAATGTGTCATGATTTTTTCTATGACTCAACAGAATCTACAATTTCGCCTCTGAGGATCTGATACAAAATAGAGACCCTCCTCAAAAAAATATTCATACTCACACTCAAAACCTGAACTCCGTTACAATAATGTGAACCCATACACAAATATTAGAAAGAATAATAGGTTATTAACATGAATTAAAATTAATTTTTGTCTTAATAGCTTTCTCAATAACTGACAACCAAATGAAAAATCAAGAAGAGGTTTATTATACTCATATTGCCAAAAATTAAATGGGATATTACTGCTGTATACCTGCTTAAGCAAAATCATCACTGAACGACCTAGTATTACATTTCATATATACAGGTGTAAACACATTTTTCAATAGGATTAGGGTAGGGTTTCCCTTCGTGAAGTAAAACATGAAAAGATAATCACTTACCCAAACACATGGTTTGATCAGCATTTGTTTTAAAACCAGTGTGGCAAAGGCAATAAAAGCTTCCAACTGTGTCAATGCACTGCCCGTGGCTGCAAATATTGGGAATTTCTTGACATTCGTTGCGATCTGCAAATAAAAAGCATCGTAAGTGCAAACTTAGAATACAAAATCCTACTGACTACGTTATTCTAGCTATTGTTCCAAGGAGTAATCCTAGCTCTAATCTTAGCTCCTAGAGAGAGATAGACATAACACTGTATTTATTTTTCACTCAAAAACTGGTTGCAACTTATTTTCACCTACCTGGTATATTCGGAGTATATTAACAATATATGAAAAAGGAAAAACGGGCAGTAGCCAGAATGTGTCTAAGATGAGAATACTTAGAACGAGAGAGAAACATGCTGGGAGGTTTTTCTGTTTATCTGCCTAAGGAGATTCACAATCTGTGGAATTAATGGAAGTATTTTGTCTATTTAAGATTTTTTGACTCAGATGATGGGCACTTCATGGCTTCACTCGAAAATTTATATCAAAGTCAAATAAATTCTGTTGCTAAGATAAACCTACATTGATGGACAATCCACACTGTTTTTCATTCAAGTTTCACCTCATTATTTTGTCTTACTTGAATAATTTTTCATTCTGTGTCTTCCTGTCCATGCACGGCACCATTTCACACTTTACTATCTATCCTAACAATGTTACTTTCTCTGTATTCATCTTCACCCACAGGAAAGTCCTCTCACTTTGCTTCTTCCAGTCTTCAAGCATAAAATTGTATTTATCATCTGCTAAACTTCAGTTGCTTTTCTAAAATATGATGCTCTGAGGGGCAGAATTTAATGCATGAAGTCACAAATGACATAACTTCATGCTTAATTATGTCTTTTTTTTTTTTATAGGTCTCAAGACTCAAGTTTAGAGTAAATGCAATTTGGAAAGCATTGTATCATCTTGATTTTTCTACTGTCAGAAAACAAAGTCAATAGAGTGCCATTTTGCTGCAAATGTCACATATGGCCTTCTCCTGGTCAAAACAATAATCCAGACGCACTGCACCTCGAGGTAGTGCTGGATCTGGGAGTACGCAGGGAACCGTATCCCTCTTCTGTCTGGTTCTCACAAGGACATACAGAGTGCTAAGGATCTTCTTAGAAAGGGATCCCCAAGTAGGGATTTTCTCTTCTCTAGTGCCCTATTTCATAAAGGTTTTATAAAAATGAAAAATAAAAAATGGAGTACTTTGGGCATTTATGGGTAAAAGAGAAAATTATAATTCTAGAAAATTTGGTTGTACTCTTTTTATCTTGAGATCAGAAAATTAGGTTTCCACCAGTAACAAGATTTGAGCTCCGAAGAAATTATGTATGAGGTTGAGATAGAAGGTCTGGGCAAACTACTTTGAAAAAAAAATCCCAAATGGTCAGTAGAGAAAAAAATAGACCATGAGGAAGTGGTTGGGAGAAAACTGTCTTTTGTCTTTAGTTGGGCAAGCCATTGCAGAAGGGGGCTGCATTCATTCTGCAGATACTCCTAAAATAAGACCAGCATCGTGAGCTTCAGTATCTAAAGTTCTCTCAGATCTCTCAGCAGCAGTGTGGGTTCCATGGCCAGAAAGACGTGTTCGGGGTTTGAAATGATGTATTTATAAATTCAAGTAAAAATCTTAGGATGAAGAGAAAGTTTTAGATCATGTTACACACAACTGGAGAGTAGGACTTTGCAACACGCCTTGAAAATGCCAATGCTCTAGAATGTCATTTAAAGATATTTTAAAAAGAGTTTTAAAGTAAGAAGAATATTTCCAGAATGAATTCTTGACCCCAAGAATCTGAGTAGTTGCAAAACTCAAATAGAGTCCCTTTCTTCTGAGGATTTCAATGAAAGAGAAAAATGGAGCTTTTGGCTACAAATGACACGATACTTATCATTAGTAATGCTGGATACATTTCATGTTTATTAATGTTCTACAAGAAAATACGAAAGGGCTTAAGTCCCAGCAGGGTATTGCTGGATGTCTTATCTTGAATTATACATAAATAGCTCTGTCCTACTTCTTGCCTGTGCATGAAATGGTATGTAATGACGTGTGTTACATTATCTACACTTCTTTATTTCAGCTGGAATTGTTTCACCTAGTTCCAAAGAAATATAAATTAAGAGCAAAATGCAGGGAAGTGGTACCAATGCCAAATTTCACCAGGGTATTGTGGTTCATATCAGAGACGTCCCCACTTTTCCTGTCCTTTATTTTCGATACATGGATGACAACAGCTCTGTTGACAAAATGCTAAATACTTGCACATGTTCCTTTAAAGTCAACAAAACAAGTCTTGATTCTCAAAGTGATTTTTTTGTTCTGCTATTACACCCTCTTCCCACCAAGGTCTCATAAAACAATGCAAAATAGCCTACAGAGAGCAGGGCACTTCCTACCACTTAATCACTGGTAGGCAAGGAAATCCAAGGAAAGTCTGACCATGTTCCCCTGTGTTGTTTCATTCACAAACACATAAAATATCCAGGAAACTCACTGTAAAATGAAGTCTAAGTAAAATAACATATTCTTCCTGACCTCTTCACTAAATATACAGTGATTTATAATTACTTAAAAACTTACGAGAAAATCACTCTGCAGTAGTTATTTTCCTTTTGGGGCTGAAACACCAGTGTTCTCATTTCCATACCACTTGCTACAAGACACTGTCAATACTGAATCACTTTCCTATCACTTTCAAGTGAGGACACATCTATTTGTCCTACTTCTACAATGTCCCCAACAAAAGAGAGTAATTTCTAGGGGACACAAGTTCTTATTCACTATTTAAAAAGGCTGGTAAGGTTTGCTGTTTTCAGTGAGTTATCTTTTATCTGTACAATGTTCAGGAAAAAGGTGTTACTCTGGTTTGATTTGTTCAGTTTGACTAGCTAACTTGGCTCAGCTCGGGAGAGCTTCACTCGGTAGACATTGGATATGTGGTTAAGATGGTGAATATGTCTGCCTATAGAGGATTATATGGAATGAGAAAAATGACTTGCTTTTGAATAATGGCTAGGGAAGTGTGTGCGTGCATGCACACATGTGTGTATGCTCTTGTGTGTGGGCATGTGTGTGTGTGTAGGTGTCTGTAAGCAGGAATCAGATACGCAAATGTAAATGAGTTACTTGTTTTGCAAACATCTCATCTATAACCAGGAGGGAAAGCTGTGCTGAGATATTCTAACTATTGTCCTTCCTCCCAATTTAGTTATTAGGGTTCATACATCTAAATCTTAACTCTGGCATTCTTCAGCCTCTCTCAAGAGAACTCTAGTTTTCTGAGTTTGCTGACGGTGCCTTCTTGGGCACTCCAGCCAGGGGCCTACATACCGTTGCACTGCCCCGTGGAGGTGAACCGGTAGCCCGGCTTACAGTCACAGCGGTAGCTGCCCGCAGTGTTGATGCACTCGGCATTGCGCTGGCACACCGGGCCATTCTGACACTCGTCGATATCTACAGGCACAAGAGAATTGCGTTAGAAGTCGAACAGAAACTGGCGTCCAGTCAACAAAGCTGCTCACATGATGACAGGTTTAATTTTCTTATTTGGATCTGTCCTACTGAAAAGACAGCAGGGATATTTGTAGCATTGTTTTTTCATTATTCCAGAACTTGAAAGCAACCAAGACATCCTTCAGTAGATAAGGGACTAAAAACACTGGTACATTCTAACAATGGAATAATATTTGGTGTTGAAAATCAGAGTGAGCTAACAAGCTGTGAAAAATGCCCGCAGTGTTGATGCACTCGGCATTGCGCTGGCACACCGGGCCATTCTGACACTCGTCGATATCTACAGGCACAAGAGAATTGCGTTAGAAGTCGAACAGAAACTGGCGTCCAGTCAACAAAGCTGCTCACATGATGACAGGTTTAATTTTCTTATTTGGATCTGTCCTACTGAAAAGACAGCAGGGATATTTGTAGCATTGTTTTTTCATTATTCCAGAACTTGAAAGCAACCAAGACATCCTTCAGTAGATAAGGGACTAAAAACACTGGTACATTCTAACAATGGAATAATATTTGGTGTTGAAAATCAGAGTGAGCTAACAAGCTGTGAAAAAAAAAAAAAAAAACAAAACAGAGGAAATATAAATGCATATCATTCAGTGAAAGAAGCCAACCGAAAAGGCTACACAGTGTATGATTCCAATTGTATGACTTTCTGGAAAAGGGAAAACTATGATGACAGTAAGAATATTGGCAGTTGCTTGGGATTATAGAGGAGAAAGGAATGAACCAGGGGGACACTGAGGGTCTTTAGTGCAGTGAATCTACTCTGTATGATACTGTACTAGTGGATATATGTCATTATAAACTCGTTCTCACTTATAGAATGGACAACACTAAGCACGCTCCTAATGTAAACTGTGGATTTTGTGTGATAATCACATCCCACTATAGGCTCCTTGATTGTAACTCTGGTGGAGGGGGTGTTGATAACAGGAAGGGCTATGCATGTGTGGGGCCTGGGGACATATGGGAAATCTCTGGATTTTTCTCTCAATTTTTCTGTGAGCCTGAAACTATACCAGAAAAATCACAAGTAATATTACTTATAAACGTAGGTACTTGGTTGGTTTATGGATTCATATGGACTCTAATGATGACTAGGTCTAAAAACAAGTTATACAACTTGGTTGCTAGAGCCAGAACTTGATATGGATACAGACTAATATCCTAGGAAGTCTTGTATTTCCTCAGAACCCCAGAATTTTATGATTCAGTAAGGCTGCTTTTATTTGAAAGGCTGGAAGGTCTGAAGAGCAGAGCATCTCCAACCTTAATGTTCATACCAATCTCTTTTTTTTTTTTTTTGGAGAGATTTTCACTGTAGGGCGCGTGCGCTCGCCAGACAGACAGAGAGAGACATAGAGACAGAAAGCGAGAAATCACCCCCCAGGGGGGATGGTCACGTCGCAATCCCTTCTCCTCCATTCTCCTCTCGGGATCTTGGGCACGCACGCACACGCACCCAGCGTGAGTTTTAAGCCACCGGGTCCGGGACATGAACCGCGGTCGACTACGTGGGAGTCCAGCGACATAGCCATTACGCTAACTGCTGGTTCCCTGTTCATACCAATCTCTTGAGACCTTACCAAAAGGCAGATTCTGACTCAGAACACCTGGGGATTAGCCTGAAATTCTGCATTTCTAATAAATTCCCAGGTGATGTAGATGCTCCTAGTCTATAGACAGTGTTCTGTACTAAAGGCTGCAGAGAATCCCGCTTCAACTATCGCGACGAGGCAGTCAAATCAAGGAAACCTAACATGGGAGGTTACACACAAAACTACTGAAAACAACCCAACTGTCATTATCAAGAAAAAAAAGAAAAAAAAAAGGTGATTGCATGCTCCAGAGTTTTGTCACTGCTAGCCCCGGGTGGGGGTGTTTGGCTACATTTCAAAAAACAGGTATCTGATATAATTAAATTCACAGCATGACAAGTTAGTGGTAGAGTCCGGGGTACACCAGCGGGCCAAATAGGTGTTCCCCTCTCCCCTACTTCAAAGAAACACCCTTATTGTTTTAAGTAGAGGGACTAGCCTGTTTCACAGGTATGGATCAGCCTCAGCTCGTTCTAGGTTGACTCAGCCAGAAAAGTTCCCACAAGGGGGCGGCAAATACATCACTCGATGTCTCTTAGGCTAGCTTCTGTGGAGGGAAACTCGGGACTCTCAGCCAGTGGGGGTTTCTGTCTAAGGTGGTCTGGATTATGCCTCTCTATGCAACAGACACAGGAATAGAAGTGCACTTCCCTGGCTTACCAGGGACGTGGCACCATCTCACTCGCTAGGTCTGCTCTGCTTGTAATTCAGGGCATGTAGCAACACTGGTTGGCTGTGGCAGTGGAGAAGCCACATGGTGTCGTGGACAAGCGTTTCTTCGGTGAGCCAGCCTTCATCTCATCATGCACGTGCCTGGAGAGAATGGCTGCACAGAGGCTCCTAAGTAACTTTTGAATCCACCACAACTTTAGTGTTGCTGGGACATGTATTAAACCAACCTTCATTTTCTGATTCTGAGAGCTAAGCGATTGCTGGGAAGCAGCTGACCCGGGATTAAACACTTACCCTGAAGATAGATATTCTGTGAAATGGAAACCAAAAGTTACAGCACTTAGTCATCTCAATGTCCATGGAATGCTACCCTGAAAGCAGCGGGTGTCGCATTAATACAGCTGCAAGTTTTCAATCTCACATATGTAGCAAGGTCTACGCTGATTGGGTGGTAATAGGTGGCCTGGCCTATGGGTTCTGGCCAAGGGCTGCTGTTTCAGCAAATATGTTTAAGTGGCAAAAAGGTTTCTGGTGAGGTAATTTTCAAAGGGATCTCTGAATGGGAGAGAACGGGAACTGCCACGAGAAGGTGGCTGGCATCCTGAGGCATGCGTGAGCGTGGGCAGAGTGTAGCTATACGGAAAGCAGCCACCCCAAGCACTGTAAGATTGACCTCTACGGGTTTTCTTCTCCTCTCCATGTCCAAGCTTCTTCTCTGAGCACAGCCTTGATGGCCCCAAATCCCAGTGACTAGGACCAACGTCCAAATTGGCTACTTCGTAAGGAAGGCCCAGAATGGCTTTACCCCACATAGCAGGCAGGCTACGGACCTGTGCCCACTTGGCCGTAGTTACCAAAAGAGTGGTTAGGAGAACTTAACAAGTGTGTAGTGAGGGTTTTAACTTTACTTGTGGTATATAAGTTGTCTGGCTTGGAGGGTAAAAATAAAAAAGGATTTTTAACATTAAAAAATTTACATATGTGCTATAATGCATGCTTTAAGGGGTAATAACTCTAACACAAACATCAACTCTTCTATAGGCCTTAAGTTTAAGTAATAAGCAGAAAATTATTCCAGCTATCCTAGGGCACATGGTATATTTAATAACCAGTTATGTCCCTTTTACTAAAATGTAAAAGAACACTATCTTTCCCAGATGTAGGAAAAAATATGAAGTGCTATAAGGAATGCTCAGAATCACAGTATATATACATGGCAAAGAGAGGTAATTTGAAAATGAAAAAAGTACCATTTGCATGCATGCCAACATTCTTCCTATAAAATCAAATTTGCTGTTCCTGCCATTTGGAATTCTCTCATGCATTTGGAATATTTGCACTAACCTTGTTTTCACTAGGGAGTAGCGAAGTCTCCACTTGGAAGAGAACACTGATTTTGAGATTCAACTAAAGATGACTGTCCACTCATGTTCACTTATAGGCAACGTGAAACAAAAGTGATCTATTTGACACACCCAGGAACTCAAAGCTTTTTCCTATCAGCCAGGAAATCTAACTCATTGTGTGTTGGGGGAAGGGAGTTACAGAACGCACGTCCTGGTTTTTCCACTGGGAGTTAGTGAATTTTGTTGCACAAAATGTCACACTGGCCTGTACTTGTTCACTGTTTCTAGAACTTGATGCATTTCTGGAATTGCAGTGCTGTGAAATTTGCCAGGTGTGTGTGGTTAACAGCTCACCAGTTAGCTCATTTCTAGATATCATTAAGTCACACCACTTACCTTCACAAACCAACAACTTGTCATTATAGAAGAATCCCACTGGACATTCACATCGGAAGCTGCCAACCATGTTGATACACACTCCATTTTCACAGACCCCTGGGATCTCCCGGCATTCATCAATATCTAAACACAGAGCAGCCACTTGTGAGTGACAGGAAAGCGTATGATCCCTGTGCAGGCAATACAGGATTACAAAACTCTGTGTGTGTGTGTGTGTGTGTGTGTGTGTGTTCATGTGAGTGCTTGAGTTAGGGTGGTGATGATGAGAAGAGAGGACATCAATGGATAGATAGCCAATTAAAATAACTAAGCCACTTTCCAGATACTCATGTGTCTATTTGGATTTACTGTCTATTTTTTGGGTCTTATTTCAGAACATCAATTTTGTAGGGGTAGGAGCCATCTTTCTATCCACTGGGCATTGTGGATATACCTGGTGAGTAGAACGAATGTGACTGCCAAGAGGTGTGTAGTGGTTTTTGGTGAAAGTGGAAAGGTGAGGAGTAACCCATGGTCATAGAGAGCTCTGATCTTTTAAGTTCACTTCAGCTCTCTCTTCATCTTCATGTGGCTTTGGAAAGAAGGCAAATCAGGTGTGCTGATGTAAGCGGAGCCAGGGCTGACCATGAAGATGGGTCAGCACCGATGAGGACTGTCACAGGAGACCACAGGAGACTACTTCCTAAGGCTGGGGACTAGCCTGGCTACTATATGACTATGTTACCTGTGCTTGGCACTCTACACGACAAATGGTTAAGTGCTCAATTAAAATCTGTTAAATTAAGAACCAGGCTCTAGTAGGGGGTTGTGAGCATTAAAATGGGACTAAATAGGAGTAAAAATGGAACCAGGATCCAGGTTGCTAAAGTAGGGCTGACTAGCTATTGAGGGAGACTTGAGAGTAGGCCTGGCTTCATCAGCTTGGCGTGAGCTGAATTTTATCTTCCTAGCTCTAAACTCCAGACCACTGAAATGTCTCCCATGACAGCAGGACTAGTTATAGCGTCAGTAGTATTCTATTTCATAACTGTTGTGTTTTTCAACCATTTGACCCACATTATTTATATCCTTAGATAACCTTATAAGACAGTTTCTAGGTACCATATTATCCCTGCTATGCAGATGATGCAACTGAGGCTGAGCCAATGGGTGTAACTAGCTAAAGATCACACAGCCAACAAGGGGCAGAGTCAGGATCTGATACCAGGAATCCACCCACAGGCAATTCCTTATCCTCCCTTATGTTTTTCCACGTCACTGTCATACTATCTTCATAGGACTGTATCAAAATGCTTATTTTCCTGGAGGGTGTTTCCACCAGCCCCCTGACAAAATTTGACAAAACATTCTACCAAGTGGGTGTGCAGAGAACAGATCTATAATCACGAGTCCTTCCAATTCACTAGCTTTCTGATATTAAGATCCTGTGTTTAGATATTATAGTCAGGATCTCTGCAAGGTACTTACGTAAGTGGTAAGGTGTTGATAGCCTCAATTGGTCTTTAAGACCTGTTGCAATTTTAGAAGAATCACTCTAAAATAAATTTGTTCTAAAGAAGAAATTTGACAGGTTGCAGATTTATTTTAGACTCTTTTTTGAAGGATTTGACTGTGACTAAAAGCAAATCAATCTACTTAATGGAAAAATAAACCAGCTTAGACTCTCAAAGAGTACATTGTGTTTGGGTACAAGCAATTATGTTTTTAGATTTTTCACACATTTATCATTCATGTTGTTGGAAAGCCAAATGAATTAACATAACTATGTACCATAGGCAAACAAACACCAATTCAGGTGCCACTCTTCAATGTAAGAAGAACACGAAATATATTCACGTTCCTTCGTTTTAGCTAGAAGTGATATATTATTATCAAGTTTAACAATAACAGGTTGAGCCATATTTCTAGCTATTGTTGTTAGACATAAAATAGCAACAGGACATTTTAAAATTTTTATTTTCTTTCCCTGTCCATATTTTATTTGAATTTCAACTTGGACAAGTTTATATTTTATGACAAGATTAATAAATGTGCTATAGTTTTAATCCCATATGATGGATTCTACATGCTAACAATCTTAAGAGCTTTCAAAAGTTTATATAAAATAAAAGTTTTTCAGCCATCTAAATCTTTTATCATGGTGGAATTTGGTAACAATAGTATCTTGCTAAATATCACATTTCCAGTTCCCAAGAGCTAGAGGCAAAGCAAACTATGAGTCAGGACTAGGTTCTTACCCCAGCTCTGTTATTAATTAGCTAGGTGGCCTTGGGTGAGTCCCTTCCCCAATCTGGGCCTCTGTCTCCTCAAACGTAAAGTAAGGAATTTGGATGAGATGATGTCTGAGTCCTCTCCAGCTTCACAGTGGATGGTGCTGATGCTGCTTTGAGTCTATGCTTGCTGCCAACCTTAGAGGACAGGCCTTGTGGGGTACATGCCTGTTCTGTCCATGCAGAACCTCTTCTATGAGAGACCACTTATCTTCTAATCACAGGTTTTAGGTAGATTAAAAAATCTGTTTTGGGAAGGGGAAAAACAAAGCAGCTAGGGCCAGGTGTTTCATGCCAATGTCATTTAGCAGTTTTTCTTTCCAAACCATGAAGTTTCTTTGGATGTTGACTAGACTGTGGAGCCATATGGATTTGGCACTGGGAGATCCAGGCTGATTGCTGGACCAGACCCTTGTTTTCTTCAACAAGGTCACTGGAAAGGCTGATGTGGATTTCAGTTTACTTATTGGGAATGAGGTGGAACAAAGCAAGTGGTGATGTTTGCTACTAGACACAACCACTCAGATTTCAGAGGGCATCTAAGGATGCTTATAAATCCCGCTAGGGAAGAGCTCTCAGAATGTAATAGCTTTCCGTCTCCTTTTCTGTTATTGGGGTTTAAACCACAAGGCATTGCCCACGTTGGCTGAATGCTGGGCAATAGCTCTGAATCTTGCACAAGCATCTCTAGCCACTATAGTGGTCTCTGTTCCAGTAACCAGTTAAGGCCTCAGGTTGAGAAGATTTTTATTTCCTATCTGAAATTCTCAAAGCAAATAGCCTGAGGAAATCCCAAATGGAACCACAAAAAAAAAAAAAAAAGGTTTTTTGGGGAAAAACCGTTTGTAAGGGGTGGTGTGAAAAAGCGTTTCATGCCAATGTCATTTAGCAGTTTTTCTTTCCAAACCATGAAGTTTCTTTGGATGTTGACTAGACTGTGGAGCCATATGGATTTGGCACTGGGAGATCCAGGCTGATTGCTGGACCAGACCCTTGTTTTCTTCAACAAGGTCACTGGAAAGGCTGATGTGGATTTCAGTTTACTTATTGGGAATGAGGTGGAACAAAGCAAGTGGTGATGTTTGCTACTAGACACAACCACTCAGATTTCAGAGGGCATCTAAGGATGCTTATAAATCCCGCTAGGGAAGAGCTCTCAGAATGTAATAGCTTTCCGTCTCCTTTTCTGTTATTGGGGTTTAAACCACAAGGCATTGCCCACGTTGGCTGAATGCTGGGCAATAGCTCTGAATCTTGCACAAGCATCTCTAGCCACTATAGTGGTCTCTGTTCCAGTAACCAGTTAAGGCCTCAGGTTGAGAAGATTTTTATTTCCTATCTGAAATTCTCAAAGCAAATAGCCTGAGGAAATCCCAAATGGAACCACAAAAAAAAAAAAAAAAAGGATTTTATGGGAATAACCTGTATGTAAGGGTTGGTGTGAAAAGTCATATTAAACTCCTCTTAGTCAGAAGGAAGAACTGGGAATTAGAATCAAATCAAATGTCAACTGGCTCTCCTCCCAGAATTTCTCTCTTTGTCGATGCCCAGGGTTGGTTTAACTAAGCTTGATTGTAATTTTGTGAAAAGCTTTCCAGCCCCCTTAATCATGAGTAACAAGTACCGTTGCCAATTAGGTGGAGCTACGCGGGGTGTTTGCATGGTTTGTTTCAAACTAAAAATGAATGTTTCAATAAAGCTAAAGGCAATTGTACAATGATTTTTTCCTTCTAAGAAAAAAATAAAGGCAAACTGAGAAAATAACTGGAGGTATTGTCTTTTCTAACACAGCAGCCAAGACAGAGTTTCAACAAGTATAACTCACCAACAGGTAAACCGGTATAAATATCAATGACGAAGCCTGGTCTTTGACTTCCACAGAGCGTAGCAAATTCATCTGCAAGGATTAAAGAAAGGTAGAGGCGGGTGGAGAGTGGTTAGCAGAGAGCAATAACTGGGCTGAAAGAAATTACTTTGGAAACCTTCTTGAAAGATATTTGTCTGTATTTGAAGAATTTAAAGTAAAAAGTAAATCTGAAAATTCCCATAGATGTAATCTTGTTTGTAAGACAAACCACGAAGGACAGATGATCTCAGGTTGACACGATGATGAAGGAAAAGCAGAGGTCTCCATGTAACATGCCACTCCACCCCACGCACTAGAGACAGTGCTTCCCTCCAGCTTGCATGACAGGATCTTGGGTATGAAGAACCCTTAGAAAAGCAAAGTGCTGGAGACGATAGTGAACAGAGCCAAGTTCTTGACATCACATCTACTAAGGACTAATTTGAGTCAGCCACCCTTTACCATCACTTAAATTTTTGGAGCTGGGCTTCATTTGGTATAGCACTCAAGTTTTTCATCCTTCCCTTTCTTTCCTCCCTTTCTCTGCTTTTTTTTCCTCTTCCTTTCCCTTTCAGCTGTTTTTCTCTTGCTTGACTTTATCAATCTTGATAAAAAGAGTTGCACCAAATGCTCTCAGAGGTCTAACTTTGAGATTCCATAATTCTAAATTATGACTGTAACTGGTATAAGATTGTTTCAATCTAATCTCAAGATGGCCACCACCTTATTGGTCATGCCCATTGAAAATTAGTAAAAATTTCTTAAAATATTTTAACCCAAATAGAAGACATTCTTCTCCTAGTGCTTTATTTCCTTAATCTGTGATTGTCCACATCCAAAAAGTGTCACACCAGCTGACATTGATCACCCAGAGAAATTACAGCAATTCCAAAAATATGTGTCAATTTCGAAGCTAAGGAAGTCATAGCTGGATTTAGACGATTTTCAACATGTAAAAATCTTGCATTTTATATTAAGTGTATATAGATTCTTAAAATGCAGGGAGTCGCTTTTGTTTTTGTGGTTGTTATTAAGTGCAGATACTCCCCAGAGAGAGAGAGAGAGAGACAGTCATGCCACAATCCCTTCACCATTTCTCCATTCTTCTGGGATTTTGGCCATGCACACATGTGTGCTTTGCATGATTTTCAAGTAGCTGGGGCTTGGACCACAATTGGTCACACGGGATTTGGTTCTGTTAATTACTAAGCTATGAGGCTGGCCCTTAGAGAGTCATTTTTGAATGAGAAAGTCAATCTACAACAGGGGTCTCTAAAGCCCCAGGGAAATGTGCAGTAATCCATGAGAATGAAAAACAAAACCAGGAGGACTTCTCTCTTTTGTAACACTTAATCTTTAAAATAGTACTTTTGTGTATATTTTATATTAGAACAGTTCACAAAAATAACAAATGTATTTTTCAATGTAATGAAATAAATGTAATGTAATGAAAATAAATATATATTGTACAATATATCATGGACCCATATAATTTTACATGTCAATTGAGTGTAACCCCCAAATATGTATATATACATATACACACACACACACATAAATATAGGGAGGAGGCCATGCCTCAATCCCTTCTTCTCCATTCTCCTCTTGGGATTTTGGGCATGCATGCACGGGCACCAGGTATGAGTTTTAAGCCACTGGGCCTGGGACTTGAACTGCAGTTGACTTCATGGGAGCCCAGTGACGTAACCATTATGCCATCTGCTGGTCTCACTCTTCAATATTTTTTTGATATGTATGATCAATAGTTTTGAAGACGAGGGGCCACAAAATGGCACAGTGGTAACACAATGTTCTGTGACGCTGACCTATATGGGAAGGTTCTAGGTTCACACCCAGAAACTTCCCTGTGTACATTTCCCTGGGTACTCTAATGCCTATAATCTGGGGCTGCTTAAAACTGGGAAAGGAGGGCCGGCAGATGGCAAAGTAGTTACATTGTTGGACCCACATGGCCAACTTCAGTTTGAGTCCCAGACCTGGTGGTTTGAAACTCAAGTCAGGTACGTGTGTGTACCCAAGATTCCAAAAGGAGAGTGGAGAAGAAGGGATTGCAGCATGGCCATTCCCCCTGGGTGGCGGGTGATTTCTCACTTTTCCTCTCACTGTCTCTGTCTCTCTCTTTTTCTGGTGGGTACACATGCCCTAAAGCAAAAACTTCTAAAAAAAATTAAAAACTGAGAATGGATGGCAGTGTCAGGACTGTCACAGTGCTGCCATCTCTCTGTCTCTCTCCTGTGTCTCTCATTCATGGAAGAATTCATTGAATTAACTTTTTAAAAACAGTTTTAAAGACCATTGATCAAGGTCAGGAGTTGGTAAACTTTTTCTTAAAGGCCCAGAGAGTAAACATTATTTACCTCTGCCATGAAGCAGCTTCAGATAATATGTCAATAAATTAGTGTGGCTTTGTTCTAATAAAATTTATTTACAAGCACCAAAACTTGAAGTTCATCTAACACTCACATGTCAAAAAATTTTTTTTTCTGATTTTTTTCAACTATTTAAAATATAAAAATAATTCTTTATTTGTGGGGCATTGAAAAATAAGCAGCAGGTTAAATCTGACCAAAGGTTATAGTTTGCTAACCCTCATCTAGATACATTTACAGGGTAGAGGTGTATCATAATTCTAAGTGATGATTATTACATTATTTCTGGATTAATGGATAGAATGATATATTTTAGCATAAAAAGAATTTCCTATTGCATGCTGTGTCAAGTAGTACCAAATAATAAATTTAATATTTTTACATATCAATGCAAAAATGAGATATGTGCTACAGAAAACCCTAATCAATACTTCGCATGATCATTTTATTTAATTCAAATCATAAAACTGATAAATTAGAAGATATATATGAGAAATGATAATATGGATGATATATATGATTTATCATATGATATTGGGTCAGAAAAGTCATGGTGCATTCCACATAGAAAAACAGAAAAAAAATGACTTTTCTGATGACCCAATATAAGAACAGTACACTGGGACCAAAAGATGGCATAGTGGTTTCTTCACTGGATTCCCATATGGCCGACCGTGGTTCAAGTCTCGGACCTGAAGGCTTGAAAACTCATCCTGGGCACTTGTGCATGCGTACCCAAAATCCCGAGAGAAGAAGAGAGGAGAAAGGATTGTGGCATGGCCATCTCCCCTGGGGGGTGATTTCTCACTTTCTGTCTCTCTCTGACTCTCTGGTGAGCGCACACACCCTATAGCAAAAATCTCTCTCTTGAGACCAACAGATGTATAATGGTTATGTTGCTGGATCCCCATGTAGTCAACAGTAGTTAGAGTCCTGGACCTGGAGGCTTAAAACTCATGCTGGGTACATGTGTGTGCATGCCCAAAATCCCGAGAAGAAAATGGAGAAGAGATTGAAGCATGGCCAACCCCCTAGTAGTAATTTCTTGCTTTCTATCTCTCTCTGTCTCTCTGCTGAGCACATGCACCCTATAGCAAAAAATCTCTCAAGAAAAAAAATCTCTCTCTAAAAAAAGAAACAGTACACCAAACTCCTCACTTCACTTACTCAAAGGGGATAATTTAGACTTGAAAAATCACATTAGATATTTCTTTCTCTATGAGAATATTAGAAGAAATTCTCTCAGTTTTCAATATCAGTAAAAGTCCTTTTTTTAAATGTTGAGTTTATATTATGGTCATTGAGAATTTTATACTTGATCATGTCTCCCTTTTCATGTGAGTCTCTGTTTGGAGCCAAAGCTATTGTCATTTCTGGCAAGTGCGTACAATTCCTGGCTTGGATTTTGTGCATTAGCCTTATTCATTGTTCCAGCTTTCTTTTTCTTGTTTTCCTTTTGCCTTGAGCGTTTTTCCTTATTATACATGCACATCTTTATAGGTTGCCTTAAATTCTTCTTGGAGCAAGATTAGTTTTAAATAAGTAAAACCATAGGAATTATCACCCACTTACTTGTCATAATAGGTGTGCCTAATGTGTCAAGTCTTTTAGTTACATGGGGAACTCCAGAACTGTGATAACAATGTCTGTATTTTTTGTGTGTGTCTGTGATAGCCTTGGTCTACAAGCTTGGTTATGAATTAGGGTATAAATTAGAAAGCATATTCTGTGACTCTGTTTTCAGCTGGAAGGACCAGGATCAACTGTCAATTTAAGTATTTGCCTTTGTGAGCCAGTTTTGTCTTATGAAGATAAACAATGCAGCCTTTTCTTCCTTTGCCAAGACTGAGTCTCTTAACAATGTTTGGGTAAATTATTGAACTGTAGTTTTGAGAATGTTGAAAATGAAACGCACCCGTGCTTGGGATGGGGCACTGCTCGCAGGGCTTATTCCAGGCCCGGCCAATGTTGTAGGAACAACAGCACATCTTCTTGGTCATGTTGAACAACAGCTCTCCGTCACAGGTCTGGTTGTCAGCATAGTAGTTTCTGTAGCACAAACTTCTTCTCATATCTAGAAGAAAGGGGGATGGGGAGGAACAGGGATGCCATGGGAGAAATCACAACAGGTTTCAAAGGGTTGTTCAAAGATCAAATTCCTTTAGAATTATACTGTAACTTGATGTTGATAAAGGCAGATAAAGCCCACTCTTACACAATTTCCAGCTATATGGTGCCACAAGAAAAGAGAACTTGGAGAAATGTATCCCCTGGTATTTTGTGCCACAGAACTAAGTCATGACGTAGCCGGAGCATTAATAAACTGTACATGACTCTCCACCCAGTCTCCTAGTAACAATTCTCCACTGCTCTTTGGCAGTTAACTTTCTCATTTCCGACTCATGATGTTTTAATACTGTTGGTCAGTGTTGTAAATATAATCGTATAAGGATACACCCAAAAGTCAAACAAAAGAAGTACTATTAAACTGTTGTTCGGGATTTTCCAACATTACATTTTAAAGAAAACTCCCAACCACCCCCAAGAGGTGGTTAAAAAAAATTCAAGACTATGGTTTGTCAGGGAGGAGGCTCAGAGTGAGACAGGAAAGGCATGCTCTTAGTCCGATGAGTAAGAGAACAGACACTAAGGACAGACAGCTGGGCTCGTGAGCCCTTTTACCGCTTTGCGGATGGGAACGAAACATTGTACGGCTTTGAAGGGCCGGACTTACCCATGCAGTTGTTCCCCCCATTGACTTGCATGTAGTCTGGGGGACATATACAGGTGTAGTTGCCAACGGTGTTGTAGCACGTTCCCGGACCGCAGATGCCAGGAGTCTCACATTCATTCACATCTATAAGCCAAGGAGAAAGTGGTATGCGAATATGAAAACCTCATTCTCTGGAGTGGTCTGGTCCTAGTGTCAGTGTAAATGCTGACAAGAGAGGAGAAAAACCACAGGGCACTTTGAAACTCAGATAGGAAAAGAGGGGCTCAGTTCATCTGTTTCCTTTCTCTGCGTGAATGTGTGCATTCTCAAGACAGAAGGACTTAGAAAAGGAACTCTTGCCTTCAGAAGTGAGTTCTTAACAGATGTGTTCATAACATACTTAAAGCCAGACAGATGGAAGTGTGCAGAAAGTAGAATTCTCAAATATCTTTCAGAAAGACAACTGTATATTCACAAACTCTATGGAAGATATTCAATATCCTGAAGTCATCCACAACTGGCTTTATGAATCTGCATTGACAGTAGGCAAGTCCCATCACCCCACTATTTTTAAACAAAGGAATTTGATTTTAATCTTTGTTAATGCCACGGGTCTTAGAGCTGTGCCATATGCACTGTGATGATCAACTAATACTAGTGAAGTTGTCATTGTCTAGGTCACCTAAATACATCTTTTGGAGAGCAAGAGGACTCTTTTTCATGCATGATACCCTAACTAGTTATGTGACTATGTGAACAGTAGGTGGATAAAAACTACCTTTCCCAGGCTGGCCCATAGCCCAAGAGCTCTGAATCCTAAAAGTGGTCAATATTTTCCATTTTTCCAGTGATACAGGATGAACAGGGGCCAACACTTGTATCATAAAGCCAGAGGACTGCCTTTAAAAGAAGCTCATTTAAATGCGTTAGCGCAGAGGAAGTGGTGGATAAAAAGAAGAGCCCAGAAGTGCCCTAAGTACAGTAGTTACTGAAATGGGACCTGTGCTACTCTAATAAAAAATGGCTTTTCTGTAGAGCATGGAAAACTCTTCTGTAAACATCAATGGGACTATGGCCCAGCATAATAAAAACTGCACTTCTTTCAGGAAAAGAGGGAGATTTAGGACTTATTGAAAATGACATCATGTCAAGAGCAGGAGTGTAAGCTGCCACATGTGCAGCATATTTATCTGACTTCGTTCTTGTTCAGACCATTGTGCTATATTGCTAAATTCTGTTTTCCTGGTAACCGTACGTTATTTTTTCATGCATGTTATTAATTTGGTTTTTTAATGGTGTTTTGCCATAGGGCATATGTGCTCATCAGAGAGAGACAGAAAGAGAAAAAGTAGAAATCACACTCCCTCCTCCCCACCGTGGGGATGATGACACTGCAATCCCTTCTCCATTCTCCTTTCAGGATTTTGGGCAAGTACACAAATGCGTCCATAGTGATTTTCAGCTGCCAGGTCCAGGACTCAAACCGTGGTTAAGCGTACTGGAGTCCAGCACCTATGCCACCTGCTGGCCTCAGATTGCCTTTCTTCTTTTCTTTTCTTTTCTTTTTCTTTCTTTTTTTTTTAAATTTTCAGTTGCCAAAGAGCATATGCACTCACCAGAGAAAGATAGAGAGAGAGAGAGGGAGAAAACACCCCCCCCATGGGATGTGGTGATGCTGCAATCTCTGTTCCATTTTCCAACCTGTCATGATTTAGGGTACACATGCACATATGCCCAGTATGTTTTTCAAGCTGCCAGGGCCAGGATTTGAACTGTGGTTGGCCATGTGGAATCTGGCTCCCTTAACCACTAGACCATAGGGCTGACCTTGCATGTTGGTTTTCTCAAATGAGTTCTTAATATCTGAAAACCTTATCATCCTATAAGGGACACTTACCATCACACACTCGCGTATCTTCATTCAGGTAGTAACCCGTTGGACAGCGGCACTGGAAACTCCCAAAGGTGTTGATGCATTTCCCTCCCTGGCACAACCCCGGGAGCTCCTGGCACTCGTCGATATCTATCAACATGAAGATGAAAGCATTTCTTTAGCACAGTTAATAAACCCAAAGAAGTTCAAAATGTGTGCACTGTAAGACAAAAGAAACAGAATTACCTTCCAAGATAACAGTGATTGGGTTTGGTCGGAAACCTTCTCCTCCAGGACAAAGAATTTTGTACTCGGCTAGTGAAACAAAAATTTGAAATGAGTTCTTTTGAATCCAAAATTTCTAGAAACAGACTTCTCAAGAAAAACACCAGCATATCCAACTGGAAATACTCGCTTTGAGAATTTTTTTTAGCCGTGACCCTACCTATCTGCACAAAGCAAGTTAACATCTGTGTGTGTACTTGTCATTTTCAAATGGTATTTATTATGTGTGCCAAAGGTAAGGCCACTCTCCTCAGTCTTTGGACCCTCCAAATATTTCTGGTAAACTATTTTATTCCCTATCACAGTCACTAGTCCTTTTTTCTTTTTATTTCCTAACAAACTTCATCTTGATTTTTATGTTTTATTCAGTCTTACTTCCTGAGAATTACTGCTTCACTTAAAAATGTTGACCAGTCTGTCTCCAAAACTGTTTCCAAACGGGGCCTGAGAAAAGCTGCTGTCTCTTGGTTCCTATCCCACCTCTCTCCTTAATGACTGGAGACCTTTCCTGCCCTTCTGTTTCTAAACAATGGCAATACTGATTCCCCTGCTCTCCAAAAACAACTTTCTGTGGTGTCTTTTGATGCCCTCCAAGGATTCTGTCATTCAAGTAGTTCACTCAAAAACACCGATCTCAGTGCTACGCGTGGTAGTGTGACACATTCGAGAACGAGGGATTAAAATGGCACTGAGCTGCTGTAGCGTCCTGGTACGCATCTGTAGGATCGGTTCTTTCAAGATCATCACAGTCTTTCCAAATCTTACAATCTCTGTCTGGGCTTTCTGAAATTATATGTACGTAAGTGTAAATGTGCATATATTCCGGGTCTAATGTTGACCCAGATTTGGGGTGGGGAGGGTCTCTATCACTCTGATAATAATAATTATTATTTATTTTTATTTATTCATTCATTTATTTTAATTTGACCAGAGAGAGACAGAGAGAGACGGAGAGAGGGAGAAAGAGGAAGTGAGAAAGCAAACCACCAGGTCTGGGACTCGAGCTGTAGTTGGTCATGTGGGAGTGCCCAGTGCCTTAACCACCACCTGCTGACTCTCCTAATTAAAAATCTTGGTTTGCCTCATTCAACACCAGTGGAACTAGGTATCCTCATCGGTTACATTTTCTCTTCTCATTCTGTAATCCCATCCATTGTTTTTAAAGTGTCTTCTTTCAGGTCACACCCCTCCTTAAAGACCCAATGAATGCAAAGATGCACACAGTGATCACTACCCTTTCCAGAACTGACTTCTCCTTTCTGAAGAGAAGACAAAAGTTGATGCCTGCTGAGCACTCATCCCTGAGCTGGGGGGGTGGGGGTGGGGCTTTGCATGAGTGATTTCATTGAATCCTCTGAGGTATTTTACGAATGTGAAGTAACCTGTCAAGGCTCCAGGGGTAACAATGGTAGAGTCCTAATTTAAAGCATGTGTGTTCTTCCTTCCAGTCAGGGACCGGGTCTGATTTTCTTCCTTCCCTTTTGGAGGTCCAAATTGAATTACAGTTCTCATGTTTGGGCCCTATTTTGCCTAGTAGGCTGTATATCTTTGAAGGCAGGATCTAGAGTAATGCATCTCTGCACATGCAAAGGACACACTCTGGGTACTCAACAAATATTTTTAGAGAGGTAAATAAATGACCTTTCAGCAAGAAAAGAACCAATACCTATCTCAACACAGCCTGTAAGCAGTAGTCACTGACTTTTTCCAAAGAAACTGTATCTGATTCTGAATGGAAGACCCACTTTGAAAACTGGGAACCTTGTAACTTTTTAAGAGATGTGTTATTTATGTCCTTAAAAGTGCATTCAAAAGGTTTTTTTTCCATGTCATTCAGTAAGAATGGAATAATATTCTACTGCATAGTTGTTTCACAAACTGTTTCTTTTTCACCTAGGGACACTCTGGTGAAAGTGAGAGCTTCCAAAACTAGCCAACACATGACAAGAGGGAAGATGGACACTCTGGTGAAAGTGAGAGCTTCCAAAAGGAGCCAACAGATGACAAGAGGAAAGATGAGCAGTGTGCCCCATAGAAGGCAAGAATACAGTATAAGTAACCTAGCCTGGAAAATCTTTAAAATAATGCTGTTGGCATTTCACTCACACAGGCATGAGATGTCACCGACAAGCCAGATGGGGACACTTACTGAACACCAAACTGGGAATGTGGCCCTTCATCAGGGTGAGAGGATCGATCTCCCTTGCCTGATCTTAGAGACTAGCAGCAGCCTGCTCCCTGTGTGGCTTTTCTCCTGGAGCTAGAACTGGCTTGAAGTTGGAATGGAAATAAGTAGGAGGATGTCCACTTACACGTGTTCACAGCAGGGCACAGCTCACATGGAGTACCCCAGGCTTTACCCAGAGAACAACAGCAGGAAGCCTTGGAAACACCAACTCCAATTTCATTGCTACAGGCTGTATCTCCATTGTCTCCTCGAGGTCGGACATCCAAATAGCAATTTCCAGAGCGGGTATCTATTTACCATACACAAACAGAAACGTGTCAGGCAGATTTTTCTACTTGAGGGCTGAAAATTCAAACCTACTTCAGAAACTGTTTAACAAACACAAGTTACATTTACCGAGAAACCAAAAAGTATCCGAGAATACCATGCTGAGATTTTCCTATAGAAAAGGTCATTGAAAGTATAAACCAGAGTTAGGAAATGTTTTAATTTCTATTTTTTTTTTTTGTAAAGAATTAATTGGATTGTCCGAAAAGTCATGAAACATTTTTGCATAGAAAAACACATCATGACTTTTCCAATGACCAAATATTTATTTCATTTTATTTATTATGATGATGACTAGTTTTTTAATTTGTTATAGGACATGTGCAAGAGAGACAGAAAGCCATCAGGTCTAGGACTTGAACCGTGGTCAGCCATATGGGAGTCCAACACCTCAACCACCACAACATATGCTGACCCCAGGAAATGTTTAAGTTTCTATACTATTAGTTTTACAAAATTCAGGGAGAAAATGTTCAGTGATGCCCTAAAAACAGTAAGTCATATGTGTCTCTGCAAAGTTTGTGAGATCTTACCAACACAGCCAACTCGAGTCGGATTGAGCTCAAAATCAGGGGGACAATCGCACGTGTAGCTCCCTGGAGTGTTGATGCAGTTGCCACTGATGCACGTGGTTGGATCCAGACACTCATTAACATCTAAAGCCAAACAACCAGAGCCGGCATTACCCACTCAGCCAATGCAGGGCAGACATCAACATAAAAACAGTAGCCACATCTGGGCTCCAAACAAGAATTCCTAAGTTACTAGTTATTAGTACAACCTAGAAATGTAGTCTTCCCCTTCTGAAACTAAACCCTTCAGGAAGGAAATGTCATAGTCTTTGGTCCTTTTCTCCTGGAACTCATTTACCATTCATGTTTGTCATCAGGATAAAATACAAAACTTAGGAACTCAGAAAAATATTCCAGTCAAGGTAACAAAAGGCAAAACAAGGCTGTGACCTCGATCAACCAAAAATTCAGACATGGGCTTTCAGAAAATCCATTTAAGATGTGTGGCTTGTTATTCTGTCAAATGAGAGCAAGATGTCCCATGGAGCCCTCAGGAGCGACCTCAGCTGTTGCCCTCACACCCACACAGGCATGAGGGCAAGCGAGTTTCTTCGGCCCTGCAAAGAATCTCTCTCCCATCATTGATGCTAGGTTGACTATCTCTCTTTCAGTTTCTATTCTAAAAATATGTGCAGAATTCCAGATACTGAGGACATGAGTTTGGCAAATTCCACCCCTGACCAATCCTATTGTCTATTCTGAACACTCATGAAATACTCAAGAATAGACTAACTAATCAGAGAAGAAGGGTTGGGGAGTAGGAGGACATCTTTCCTCCCCTTAGAATGGAGACCCTCCTATGGGTTCCACTGTAGAGGATTCATTTGCTCAAACTGCATGTGAACTTGGAGGGGCAAGCATAGACTAACAGAGTAAGGTTAGAGAGTATGATGCTGATGGTGACCGGGGACACTGAGGAGAGGGTATGGACCACAGAGAAGCCACTTGTTGAGGTATGCTAGGTGCCTGGCTTGGTGTTACAGTCATTTCTAGAAAAATCAAGGGACAACTGGGTGCCTAGGAAGAACACTCTGGAGAGTCCTGGGTCCTGTCTAGGTGGCTGACAAGGCAGATTTTCCCTGAAATCCCAAGTTTATACATAACACGTCACAGAACTTATTTCCCCAGTATCCCTGAACAGGACAGAAAGCTGAGTTGCAAATGGCTCTCATACTCTTAACTCAGTGCCAAAGAGGACCAAGTGGCAGTCTTCCTGGTGCTTGTAGCTTTTCTAAAATATTTTCCTATGTTCCCCACAAACGCTTATAGATAAGAAAGTGATTGATGGGTGGCTAAGTTACTCTCGTGACCGCTGGCAGGGCAAGGGCAGGATGGAGTGGATACCACCACACAGAAGTACAAAGAGGAAACGCAGACCATAGGGCATGGCCTTCAGAAGGAAATGGAAAATTTACCCAAGGAGAAAAGGAAATGGCTGAGAAGCCCTACAGCTGGAGCACCCCTGGAACATTCTTTGGTAGCCATGAGCTCTACTCTATGGCCATGAACTCTGCCCCCCCCCCAACAGAGTATTGACTCCTCCCTCCATGACCTGACATCTAGTCAGTTCCAGGTCTGAGAAAGTCTGAAATCCTGTGATTCCAAATGCTTCACCTCACTTTCCCTTTGCCTGTGTGGTCCCCACAGCCGCGGGCCCAAGAACACCTGGGAGCGGGTTGCGACGAGAATGGAAGTCTTACCCGTGCAGTTCCCACCGCTTCTGTCCAGTTCGTAGCCTATCTCACACTCGCAGCGGAACAGCCCCGGGAGATTGTGGCAGGTTCCAAAGACACAGATGTTCGGAAGGGAGCACTCATCGATATCTCGGGGAGGGAAGGAAAAAGAAGGGAAGTTCACATTTATTTTTTGGATTAAGAAATCACCTAATATAATTAGGTAACTGTGGATCATGTTTAAAAAAAAAAAAAAAAAAGACTTCCAGATGTCAGACTAGTCAGGTCTCCCAGAGATTTTAGATGATTTGTCATGGGCAAGATGTCTCCTGGGTGTGAGGTGATCTTCCCTTTACACACTGAACGCTGGGCTCTGCATTTTATAGATACGCATCTCAACTCTGGTGTTTCACGTAGGCTGACATCATTTTTCAAAAGGCAAGTCCCAAACACTACTTTAGAGTGAATCCTTTGGTTATTTTTACATATTCCTTGGTTTTGTTGTGAATTAAAAAGTTTAAGAGCCATAGAGGCTTTGTGGTAACTGTCATAACCAGTTTTATAATCCTCTGTGTCCCTAGCACTATGGTTCGTTTTGCTGATGGCGATCTATAAACTGCAGATGGTTCTTCCGGGGCTCTGTCCCTGCCTCGTGTTAACACATTGTTTGTGCAATTGACACGTGGACACGTTTATAGGCTTGAGACTGGCTTTAAATAGCCAAGACCGCTCTGCTGGCAATGATTTATATTAAGAACAAACAAACAAACAAAACCTTCTCTTATGGCATTAAGAGAAGCGAAACTTTCACTGAGACTAGTTGTGTTAGTGGAGGTGGCACAGGACCTGTTTAACTTGGACATTTGGAGGGACAAAAGTAAACAAGGCATGAGGCGCATGACCAATAGCCTCAGAGAAGTTTTATATCAAACTCTGCATATTTAACATAAACTGTATAAAGAACACCCATGGACCCATAACAAAGAAGTGTTTACCCAGAAATACATGCAGGAATTAGTATACATGTTATGGCTCAAGACTGATGTTGATTTCGTGTCTTATTAACAGCAAACAATTATTACCTAATACACGAGTCAGGCTCTTGTCTGAACGTCTACTTTCAATCTTTTTAGTTCATTGTAGTAACTAATTCTTTTCGGTGAAGAAGAATTAACTTTCACAAGCATTGGTAAAGAGGATTATCTTGCATTGTCTGATGGAACCCATCCTTAGTCAATGGGTTCCTATGACTCTTCCAACACTTCTCAGGAAGACAGAGCCTGAGACACTCCATGGCATATGACATTATCCCAAGGGGGTGCCCTACTGAACAGATTTGCAAAAGACTGCTTGACATTCATATGCATTACATATTTAGAGAACACTGTGAGGCATACCCAGGGCATTATTCTACATTTAGAGGGGACTACCTGTTCTGCCGTTATTTAAAAGCCTTTATTTTTAGTAACCAATAGTAAAAATGGAAAACTCTATTTTTCTATGTAAAGATACTCTTCCAGCAGGATGTTATCGGGAGACCTGCACTCCGAGTTAATTTCCCCAGCAACAGGGATAAGTGGCTGTACTGACTGAACCACACTGGGTGACCTTCTCTTTCCTGTGACCAGTGATGTCCCTTGCAGGCCATTTGGCCAAGGCTGTTCATGCTGCTTATGGCTAGAGAGCTGAGATGTTCTCTGTACAAAGAAAAATAGTCCAGCTGGAGACCCAGGCCGTCTATAGACTGAACTGACCAGCTTTGAAGTGAAGCCAAAACACACCTCAGTTTAAAAAAAAAAAAAAAAGGCATCTGGAATGTTTAAATAACCTGAACTCATCAGCCCTGCAAGGCTCCCCTGGCTTGCCCATCAGTTACCTTCACAGGCTTTCCCGTCGGCACTGGGCACAAAGCCCATGTCGCACTCACACCGGTATCCTCCCGGGGCATTGAGGCACTGGCCATTGCCACAGAGATTCAGATTCTCGGAGCACTCATCAAGATCTATGGGATAAAGAAACATGGGTTATTCTTCCTCGGTTAGGAGCTTTCCAGTTTGTCAAGTCCAATAGTTTTTGTAATTTTTGTAACTGTCAACTTCCTGAGTGTAGCAGTGTTTCATCCTAACTTCGAATTGGCACATTTAAACTCCTTTGTTTTTCACTTTTAAATGTTAACATTGAATATGCAGGGAACATGGGGTTTAGATACAGAGTCTTGGATGCTAAGTTACCCCTAATGATATAAAATGTGTAACAGGTCAGATGACTCACCACCTGAAGGCTCTTTTAAGAAGGATCAGACACCCGGTGGGCATGTCCACGACAGGAAATCACGTATCATGGTTTGTGCCTGTTTTACAAGTTTCAGGCTCAGCTCCATGGGCAGCAAGAGAGCTGGGATGGCGACTTTCGAGGGGAACAGAATGCCTGCCTGCTGACCACGACCGTGTTCTTAACTCACAGGCACTAGACATCAAACCCATGAGCCATAATGCTGGAAAAGTAATGCGAGGTTTCTAATAACAAAATGTCACCAGAATGGGCAAAAATGATTTCAACTATGAAACAACTTTCAATGAGTTAAAAAAAAAAAAGAAAAACCATTTAGGCCAGCCAGTAGCATGCTGGTGGATTGTGGATGGCCAACTGCATGGTTTGAGTCCCAGACCCAGTAGCTTGCAAAACACACTTGGCATGTGTGTGTGTGTGTGCACATCCAAAATCCTGAGAGGAAAATGGAGAAGGGGATGCAATATGGCTATCCTCAGGGGAGGGGGGGAGGTAACTTTCTCATTTTCCCTCTCTCTCTCTTTCTCTCTCTCTAGTGAACACATGTGCCTTTTTGCAAATTAAAAAAAAAAATTTGTAATTATATAACGGGCCTTGGCTTCCTAGCCTCTTTTGTGCTTAAGCCTCATCTTATTAGCAAAGTGCTCAGGATAAATGAATGCTTTAAGTCATTTGAGAAGTTAGTCTACCTAAGAGCCAATGAGGTCTCACTATTTCATGTAATCCAAAGCCTTGACATAAAAAGTGCTGTCTGGGTATACGTGCACATGTAAGTACATGTATAATTTATACAGTCTCTTCTCTAACCACGTGTGTGTGTGTGTGTCTGTGTGTGTGTGTGTGTGCGGATACATATATATATATATACACATAGCAGTTCATGTTAATTCTGAGACTATTAATTAGAGCTAAGAAGAAAACTTTATTAATATGTTGTAAAACTGGAAGGAAATAAGTTCCTTACAAAGTGGCTATTCAATTCCTACCAATACCAATGTGGGAGGAGGAGGATGATAACAATGGCCAGTGACAGAAAACTTTTTATTATTCTCCTGACTCCAGAACATCTAGTCCTTTTTCCTTGTGTGGCTTTATACACAAATTTACCCTTGGTTTTGAAAATGAGTCATCAGTATGAAGTAGGCACAGAAATAAAAAGGCTAGGCATATTAAAGGAAGTGTGATTTGTTTTAAACTGACAATCTCATTTTATACGGTGTTGTATGTCTCACACCGCCCTATCTGACCTGGCTCAAATTTTGATTCTCTGGGGGATCTATCAATAGTTTTCAATGACTGATCTTTTCCTTCCTCTGATGGAGTCTTCAGAAAGGACTGACAGTCTAAAAGCTGTGGACACCTTGCTTCTCCAACGATGCTTACATGGCTTTCAGCGTGAGCCCACCTGTGCAAGTGAAGCCGTCGCCCGTGTATCCTTCCTTACAGAGACAGCGGTAAGACCCCATGGTGTTCTTGCAGTCTGCATGCTGGCTGCACATGTGGGTTCCATTGGAGCATTCATCCAGATCTTAAGGAGAAAGGTCACATCATCACTAACGGAAAGCATGGAACTTCAGATCAACACTATGCAAATTAAATGTACCTGTAGAGAGTTCGTATTTGCATGTTTATAATCTATGCAGTTCATGACAAGGATTTCTGCAGCTCGCCAACTCACCGGTGCACTTGATGCCGTCCCCGATCCACCCGGGACTGCAGCTACATTTGAAGCTGCCGGCTGTGTTGGTGCACACAGCATGCCTGCCACAGTTGTGGGCTCCAATTTCACATTCATTGATGTCTAGAAAAACAATTAGCAGTTTAGAAAACAAAAAAAGCTTAACCCAAATGCTTTTGTCTCTTTTAAATAACTTAGTAATATTCATAAGTTGACTTGCTTTCATGCTTTCCACAATATAGTGGCTCATCTGAAAATTCATGGTACATTTTTGTATAGAAAACCATAAAAAAGTCATGATTTTTCCAATGACCCAATAGTGTGGATTAGTTTAGCAACTACTTATACATTCTCTGTACAGTGCCCAGCTTTAAATTTCAATTTATAAAGAAAGAACAATAGGATGGTACTTGCTAGTATTAATTCTAATTACTTGTCTTTATTTTAATGTAAGTGTCCAGTCCCTGGCAAAGCAAAGTGAACCTCTTTCCAGCTGAAGATTTAAAAGTCAGTAGCAGGGTCAGCTGGTGGCACAGCGGTGACATGCTACTCTGAGATGCTGGACCCACATGAGAAGAGTCTCATTGCAAGGCCTCCCTGTGCATGCCCAGTGCACACATGCATGCTCGTGACATGTGCTGACTGAGGCTGGGAGTGGATCTCAGCAATAAGGACCTTGCTGGGTGAGCCTATTTCTCCTCTTCACCCCCATCTTGTCTCTCTCTCTCTGAAGAAATAAATAAGCTTAAAAAAAAATGAGTTGCCTAATGTTCTATGGGATGAATACTCATGGTTTTATGTTTCTATTACTCATATTTTTATTAGTTGACTATAGAGCAGATATACATTGTTTTCATATCTTACATAGATAAAGGAATAGGATGTTTTTGGCATATCAGAAATATGTTTTGCATCGGGGCCAGCAGGTGGTGTGATGGACTGGACTCCCGTGGCCAACTATGGTTCAAGTACTGGACCTGGTGGCTTGCTTTTTCATTTTCCCTCTCTCTCTCTTTTCCTAATCAAACTGGAAAATAATAAAGTTAAAAGAAAAAAGAAAAAAAAAGAAATGTTTTGCATCATATTCTATGTACTAAGTACATTTTATTCTTAAACCGCTGTGTTATTTGGTTACACTTAATTTCTATAAAAGTTTTACTTTAGGTATTGCTAATTCAAGAATGTGCAGAAAATGTTCCTAAAAGCAATATGTGGACTGTCTTTTCTCTAGCTCCTCATGGTTCTAGGACGTTGGAGAACCAGGCTTTCTTGCATATTTTATGTTAAACTTGAGTCGATTTAATGGCAATTTTATCAGAATATGGAGTACTGGCTTAGGGTCACAGAGCTGAAAGAGTACATATTCTCTAAAATTCATTTCCCAAAATTCCATTCCCAAATCTAGCCAAGATATAATATAAAAGTGTTATAGAAAAGAATGTATGGTATGAAGTGAAATACATTTTGTTCCTCTAAATTAAATAATGAGTTACCCTCATAATCAACTTTGTTACTAACGACAGAAACTCATAGTACTGTGGTTTTAAATGGAAAACAATATCTAATACAAAACTTAGATCAAGAAGGTTCATTTTAACATACAAAATGTTGCAGTAATTTCCCATGATCACCTCAACAGTGGCATGAAAAAGAAACTGGGTGAGCAACTTAGGTTTACCCTTTTGTCTGCTCAAGAAGCCCAACAGAATGATTTGAAAGTGTGTGAAAACAGGCTGTTTGCCAGCTGTTCCGGCTGACCGTCTGAAACCATCCTGGGATCTTTGGATTCATCATAACTTCTAGATCAATTAATCATGACAGATTTCTTTTACACAAACAATCTGTAATATCATTAACAATCATAAAATGGAAGCATGCCTGGAAAAATGTCCTTGGAATTACAAAGTACTGTATAGGTGAATTTTAACATAACGTTGGCAGCCAGATGAACCTTTGGGTCAAGAGCGGCACAAACCAAGCAGCTTTAGGTTTGTGATGTGGAGCTTTAACAGACTGGATAATCCAGCAGGGTGCATTCCAAGGAAGTGAGGAGGAAGGCCAACACCAGGATAGTCAGGATAGTCGTGCTAAGTAGGCACAAGAATTCACGCAAGTAGGGCTTCCCACACCAGACCTAATGGACTCCACAGAACGCTCACAGAGTTTCCTAAGCAGGGCATGGACACTCCTTTCTTCCTCCGGTAATCTCTCTCCTCACAGGTAATGACGCAAACTTCCACTTCTGTGGAGTCCTGCTGTAATTTCCCTCCCTTATTTGTCATGATTCCTGACAAATCAGCTTAGGTGAAAACAATCCTTCACTTGCATAAGCCTCTAGGAGTTACAGAATCAAGGGATTTCTTAGGTGAAAATAATTCAGAATTCTACTCTTCATAGTTCTTCAGAGGAAGACACAGAGGTTGGGCCCCACAGTCAGTGAGGGGCAGAGCTAGATCTGTCTGGAACTCAGTTTCCCTGTCTGCTGATGGGGACTTACTCCCTCGGGGCACAGCTGCCCCATCAAACTCATTTCTTTCGCTTTATCGAGATTTTATTCTGTCTTGTTTTATGAAAATCTCAAAATATTGGTGAATATGTCTGACAGACTTACAGAAATTGTCATGAATCTCTTCCACGAAGCACGGTTTTCAGAGATGACCCTAGTCTGCCATCTAGTAATTTTGTAATCTTTTTCTTCTAATTTTCTAATGACCAAAGGTACCTTTATTTTCTTCTGGTTTTACCTTTCCTACTTCATCTTGCAGTTAAGAAAATTACTATTTCCTTTAAAAGGAGAGTCCCCCTATTTTTTTAACCATGAATAATATGCTAATATAAATTTATAATTCAAGGATATATTCTCAGTTTTACCAAAATGCTTTCAAGGTGGAAAGAAATTATACTTGTAAGAAGCTGAGTACCATGGGTTTAGGAGTATTAGCAGAGGGTAGCCAGTATCCAATTTTCCATTTTTTTAATACTTGTGTAAAAATTATCTCAATGTCTTAAAGTCTTGATATGTAACAAGTGAATCAGAAAGACTTAAAGTGTTCATTAATCATTTCCATGGCACTTGGACCTAGGACTGTACTTTATTATAAAAACAAACAAGCAAAAAAAACCAGGAGGGGAAACTGAGCCATAAGAAAACAAGCAAGCAGAATGCTGTATTGAAACACTCTTCAATAATGTTAAGGAAACAGCACACACTTGCCAAGAACATCTCTTTCTGTACAAATGTTCTCCTTCCCCCACAAGTTTGCTCCAGACAGAAAATTCCTTTTTAAGATTAAGAATAAGCATATGCCAAGAAAAGCAAAGAAATTCAAATTGAAGGCTGACAGTGCAACCTCCTTAACCCCACATAGCCTCTGTCACAGAGACGCAGGTCCTATGTCTAAAGCTCTCTCGCAGGCACGGGCGTGATCTGAGCAGACTCTTTGCAGAGGTTCCGGGCCTTCCCTGCCCAAGTCTGCTCTCTGACGACTACAGGCTGCGCTCTGAGCTGCACCGGCCTCCTCTTACAGGCACACAAGACAGGCTGGATCACCCACACAAACACCTGCCCTCCTTGCCAGCTGGGCTTCCATCATGTGGACCTTATGCAGCAGGGCTGGCACGCCATGGACTCTCCTGATTAGGCATTGAGGAAGAGGGTGTTCCAGTGAATGGAGAGGCTGAACGTGAACACTACTTGGATTTCTTAATTTGGATGCAAATTTGAGCCAAGATTATTAACTGAACACCCATGGTGTTTTCACAGGCTGACCGCCAGTGTTGGAGAATTAAGAGTGATAAGAAACTGGAAGGAAATGAACGTGAATTCTTACTGACTGCTGGTGGTTGAAGTCAATGATTCACTCCCATGGATTTGGACCTACCAGAAAGAAGCATTTCTCATGTGAAAGGAACCAGACAGTTTGAGAAATGGAATTACCCAGAAACCCTGCTACTTTAACCGAAAACAATTCTTTTTTTATTCCATTTAATGGAGTCCAGCTAACACCGTAGAAAGACTTGAGTTTCATGGCCGGCTGACTGACTGAGCACGTGATGGGAAATAGGTTCTTACAGATCAGCTTGTGGAAGCAAGACCTGCCAAGGATGACCGAGCAGAAACCTATTTCCTCTTCTTCCAATTTGCTGTCTAATTGCGATTATGTAGAGTGAGCAGCAAAAGTCTTATGTTGGGTCACAGAACAACTGTCATCGAGCCCACTTGAGCCAAGGGTAGAACTGTCTAGTTTCAAGCAAAGGTACATTCTCTCCCCATTAAATTGAATGTTGCCCTTAGCAATGACCACAATGTGGACAAAAGCTCAAGGAGAAAAAAGGAAACCCTCAGCATCTGTGTGGGCTGGGAATGTAAGTCAGTGGGTGGATTCTGAAGACTGCTAAAGTGATTGGGGGAAAAAACATGTTTATTTGTTAAAATGGAAACAATCAGTAATGACAAGGGAGCCGAAATATTTAGACAAAGATGTAATGGAGCCCAGAGGTCTTTTCATTTTCTTCCCCAAAGTTCTCATGAAACAAAGCTCCTCCTTATGAAATAGCATACATATTTGTATAATTTCTTTATAGAGCACTCATAAAAAAAATCCTACCTATTGAAATAAGTAAGTAGATACATTTCCTTTGTCAGTGATCAAAACACAGTTCCAGTTCTGTTCCTGTTATTTGCTGTGTGGCTTGCTTATTCAATTAGGCAAGCCACAGCTCTCTATTTACATTAGTAAATATGAACATTCCTTTTAACACGGTCATCACCATGGGAACCTGATGGTATTCTAAGTTGTGAGTGACACTAATTTTAAACTAAAGGCAGGCTAAAAGAACCCTAGTTACATGGGATTAAGAAAAAAAAAAAAACATTTGGGCCCAGATTTTTAAAGACTTGTTTTTAAGTATACCAGACATTCCACCAATTTCTGTTTCTATGAGTCGCTTCCAACCAAATGTGATCTCCTTAGTTGTTAATAACAATATTACAGTGGAGCTCATTCTTTCTCTCGTCTGTCCAGTGCAGGTCACTAGAGTGCTATTTATCTGAGGAAAACATCTGAGTAATTGTCGGGCACCCTGATAATCTGTTCAAAGTCATAAACTGATGGGAGGAACTACAAACAAAATCCAGGGTTTTATTCCTTTAGCTGAGAATATCACAAGCCCTGTTCCCATATCAAAAGGGCCACAGAGCTTAAGTTTTCCCTCAGTGCTAGCTGGATTTTATCCAATTGAAAAACAATTTCTGGCTGCAATTTAAAAGAATGGGGGGAGAGCTAACTCTTAGAGAAGGATAGAGTGCTCTGGGGCCAGCAGGTGGTGTGGTGATTGGGGCGCTGGACTCCCATGTGACTGACCATGGTTAGAATCCTGAACCTGGCAGCTTGCTTTCTCACATTCCCTCTCTCTCCCTCTGTCTCTCTGGCCAAATTTTTAAAAATAAATAATAATAACAAATAAAAGTAAATAAATATTTTTTAAAAAAGAGAAGGATAGGGAACCAGCAGTTAGCGTAATGGCTATGTCGCTGGACTCCCACGTAGCCGACCGCGGTTCGTGTCCCGGACCCGGTGGCTTAAAACTCACGCTGGGCGCGTGTGCGTGCGTGCCCAAGATCCCGAGAGGAGAATGGAGGAGAAGGGATTGAGGCGTGACCATCCCCCCTGGGGGGTGATTTCTCGTTTTCTGTCTCTATGTCTCTCTCTGTCTGTCTGGCGAGCGCATGCGCCCTACAGTGAAAATCTCTCCAAAAAAAAAAATTAAAAAAAAAAAAAAAAAAAGAGAAGGATAGGGTGGTTCTTTGATTCCCCATCTATGTGTCTCTTCTTATGGTTTCTTAAAAGGCTGCTACTCTTAATGTAAAACTGATGTCATCTCATCTAATATGCAGTACACAGTTCTTGTCACCACAGTCTTGTCTTCACAATTTTCTATTTGATTATGAAAAACAAGCCCTGCAACATACAGAGTAAAGTTTTCTTTCTGAACATGTATTTCCAACATGTATCAGGAAACAGTAATCTAGAATTTTGCTAGACTAGAAATGTCTTTCATCAAAATGGCCTCTGTACATTGTCTGTATATCTCATTTAACCCAACAACAATAGCTTCTATTTATTGATCAGCACTGTGGTAGGGGTATTCTATACATTATAGCTTATTTTCTGAAAATCATATTCATGTGGCATAAAATATAAGCTCTTTTCATGGCGAAAGGCCTAAAATAATCAACTGTTTGCTGCGCATGCCCTAGTTAGCTGAAATCTGGAGCACAGAATTGAAGACAGCCTTTTCTTACAAGAAATGAAGACTATTCCTTCAGATGAACGTCTTCCTTCTGAAGCATCACTGCTCTCTGGGTTGAACTTTCAGTGAGCTCAGCTAAGCCAAACAACGATATTATCCTCTCTTAAGTATGACACAACATGGAACCTTCTGTCCTTTACCACCAGACCACAATTCTTTACTAGGACTTGTATTTATACTGGCAGCTAAAAATAACGCTTGAACCACAGATATAAAGATCTAAACATGCTTGGTACCTGAGCGATCCCATGAGGACTTGAAAGTTTTAAACACTGGGCCATTTATTAAAATGGACCCCTAGACAGGCTTCAAATAAAGAGCAACAGAGTGGGCATGAAAATACCTCCGCTGCATACTTCTTTCCACAATTTGACTAGAACCTGTGATTTTTTTGAACCAATAGTATTATTACCACTGTCCTATCTATCAGCACATTTAACTGAGCATTATTGGCCAATTTGAAACGAGCACAAATAGATTTGTTTTCCTGAAATAAGTTGATATAGTGAAAGGAAGATATGTACATTTGCCGCACTGAAAATCTGCAAATGTTTTAATGTTTAAGTCACAAGGGCATGTCAAACTAGCTTTTAGAATTGAAGTCTGTTATGTTTATACAGTTACCTAATTTAAGCTCACCACAGTCTCCAGTATGGTTTAAATTATGTTACATGCCATCGTCTATTACATTAATATAAGTACCTACAGCCAAACTTTATATTATTCTATGTACTTAATATCATCATCTCATATTTGAAAATACCAACTCAGCACTTATAAAATGACGTCATTGCCACAGAGAGACTTCTTCCATTTGGCATTTAATAGGACAGTCTTCTGTAAATATCATCAAAATATTTTCTCATATGCTATTGGTATTTGATAAGCAAAACTGCAAACGGTTCTCTTATTAATTTGTAAACCTTGCAAAGTCTATAACCAAAGACTTATTTGAGCTAACACAACTGAATATACCACAAATGCTCTAACTTAAGAAACTAGAAGACTGGCAAGAATTGACGAGATATTGAATTATAGGATGTTTTATTTCAGAAGCAATTTCAGTTATAAAACTGTAAATAGAGTATTGCCAAATGCAGTTATTGAGAAAGGCCTGCTTTAACTAAAGGGATATGTATGTTTGCTGAGTATGCATGTTCACTATTTTGACATGAAAATGTGATTTTAATGTCATAAAAATGTGTTACCTACGGTGCTCATTCATTTATATGTTTCTTCTCTACCCTCCAAAGGCATCAAAAAACTCCAGCTTGGATCTGATATAAAGAATTTCTAAGAAGTGAAAGTTAAATGAATGAAAAATATACAAAAGGCTTTTTAATACAGTTAAAATGTTGGAAAACTTATATTAATCTATAATTATAGCAGTCTCTTAACCACTTAATACTTTATTGCCCAAATTAAAAAACAAAACAAAACAAACAAACAAACCAACAAAAACTTACCTGTGCAGCCAGTTTTTCCTTTTTTGCCTGAATAGCCCATATCACAGTGGCAGATAAATGAGCCTTTAGTGTTTTCACAAGTTCCACTTAGGCAGATATTTGGATTCAGGTCACATTCATTGACATCTGTAACACATAGATGTTATTAATACATGTAGCTATTTGCTATCATTGAATACGTTTTCTATGAGATGAAGTAATTATGACAAGCAAGTTAGAAAAGGTATAATGCTTTCACTGAGGGGGAAAAAATGTTCTATTTAAGGAACCTAATTTGCATTTGCTCTCTGGCTAATCATACAGACTGGCTCTTCTCTGGCCCACAAACAGGGGTCAGGGAATCAATCTGATTGGCTCCAGGTTGAATGTAGAGCTTGTTTATGTGACAATCTGGGGGAAAAAAATTTGAACAGTATAGCCTATGGCAAGATAAAAATGTTAATACATGATACTAACAATTTAGCTTCCATATTTTAAAAGAAAGAATAAATGAACTGGTGGTCTCAGCACAAGCAGTTACAAACTCCCCTTCTTTCCCAAATAAAAATAATTTTTTTTTCCCATGACATTCACAATAATTTCTAGGACTTCTTAGATTTTCGGTCAAGGTTTTTCAGAAGATATACATGTGATAAAAACTTAAATCCAGTTAGTTCTACACTCTCGCTTTTGATCAAGAAGGAATAACAGGATAGAAATTACGTTCCCAACTGAAACAATTAAAATAATGGACAATAGATACCAAAAAAAGTTGTTTCCTATAATGGATATTAGGTAACAAAAGACAGAAAGCCTTGAGAGAAGGAAAACAAACTAGATTCTATAATGATCTCACATAACTGTGGAGAGGGAGTTTTAAGTCCCTGGCCTAAGTAGGAGTATGTCAGAAGGACCCAGGCAGTGTCTCTGAGTTGAGGAGAAGAATCTGAAAGTCCTGGAAGGCCAAGGCAGCTAGAGTAGCAAGAGCAGAATAAAGGACAGGATGTCCCTCAAATATTCACATGAGTAGTAATCAGCACATTCATGTGAAAAAACAAACTCCTCGAGGCTGGGGAAAGCACGTTCCAAAAGAGTTAGAGGGAACAATCCTAGAAATTCACAAAAGCCTGGAATTGTGCCTGTTCCCACCAGCCAGAATGAAAACCTCATAATTCACAGGGAATTAGGTAGAGTATCTAAAAGGGTCTTGCCTCAGTAATGGAGCAAAATTAGCCCCACACTAACTGCTGCTTTAAAAGCAAGACTTCGAAAGGATTAATCTGTTTGGAAGTAATGTAACTGTATTTCCAGAAGGAAGACTATTTCTGAGACTACAAAAATATCCAACACCTAGCAAGGCAAAATTTACAATATCTGGCATCTAATTAAAAATCGCCAGGCATTCAATGAAGCAGAAAATATGACCCATCATGAGGAAGAAAGCTAATTTATTGAAATGACCCAGAACTGTCACAGAAGATAGAATTAGTAGACATTAAAAGTTGTTATAACCGCATTCCATGTGTCCAAAAAGCTAGAGAAAGGACTAGAAATATTAAGTAGACAGAAGAAATGAAAAAGAGACCCAAATCAAACTTTTAGAGATGAAAACGACAATGTCTGAGATGAAGAATGCATTGAATAGAATTAGACCCAGATTTGATAATACAGAAGAAAAGTTTAATGAATTCAAAGGCATAACTTAGAAACTATACAAAACAAGTATGATCAATTCTAGAGTTACTGTACTTTTATCAGAGATAAATTTTGCTTGACTTTAGTCACGTATTTTAAAAGCCTTAAGTGTAGTCACAACAGAATAAGGGTTATTTAAGTAGACTGATGTAAAAGACATATAAAAGAAACATCCATCTAGAGTTTGCCAATAGTTAGCTCAACCCACATAAGCTCTCTGACAAGAGCATTACAGCACAGTCAGAAGAAAGCTGCTCTTTGGAATGCTGACTTTAAAATATGAGTACTATGCCCTAAATATTCTTATTTTTCTCATGGGATCCATCTGTCTACTACCCAATATACGTGTGGTTGTGAATACCCAAACAAGATGGAAAATCTTGCCTTCTTTGCTTACCTACACAAGTCTTCATGTCTTCAGATGCCATAAATCCATCATAACATAAACACCTGTACTCTCCAGGTATGTTTGTACACTGACCGCCATCACAGATATTAGGGTTATCTTCACACTCATCAATGTCTGCAAAGAAAAAAAGCCAACAAGCATATTTTGTTATTATTGGTTCCATTACTCAGTGAAAAACATTAACTGACCTAGTCAAAAAAACTCAGCCTACTAGCATAAGACTATTAACTCTCAAATCCAAATGAATCTTTATACAAAGTATCTCATCAGGTTATCCTGGGCTAAAAAAAAAAAGGGGGGGAGGAATCATTTTCAAGGTTCACAACATAACTGTTCAAGAACAAGGTCCATACTCGCTTAAAAATCTATTATGTAATTAGAAATTTTATCTCATATTTTCATGAAAAATGCATATGAATCTTATTTTTCTCACTGTCAAATTATAAAGGCCTAAGAGCCATCATCTTTTGTTTTACTGTTATTTTAAGATGAAAATTGTCTGACATAAGCATATGTACTTAAATGTGTGTGCACTTGCCAGAGAGATAGAGAGATAGAAAGTAAGAAATCAGCTCCCCAGAGGGGATGGCCATGCCACAATCCCTTCTCTCCAATCTCCTCTTAGAATTTTGGGTGAGCCCGCACACACATGCACACACACTCTGCATGAGTTGGGCCGGGAGTTGAACCATAGTCAGCCATGGGGGAGTCCAGTGATGTAACCACTGTGCCATCTGCTGGTCCCTGACAGATTTAATTTTTATGAACAAATCTATGTCAAGAATTTTTAAAGATATTTTTCTAGGTTAGATCATTTTAGTACTGAAACCTAAATCTTAACCTGAGCCCAAATCAAAATCTATTGGGTCGCTGGAAAAGTCATGACATATTTTTGCATAGGAAAACACATCATGACTTTTCCAGTGACCCAGTGTATCAGTCACTTTGCTTCTCATCTCTCGTTGGCTACACGGTTATTCTAGTGCAGGGTGATATAATAGGAAATAAATTAGACAAGTGGTCCTCAAACTTCAGCATCTATCTGTTGGGTCACTGGGAAAGTCATGATGCATTTTTACATAGGAAAACATAGAAAAATATGTCATAACTTTCCCAGTGACCTAATGTATCATTTGAAAGCTTATGGAAACATATATTACTAAGACCTATCCTTATAATTTCTGATTCAGTAGATCTGAAATGGGGCCCAAGAGTTTGCATTTTTAAAATATTCTCAGGTACTGTTGATACTTCTGGGCCAGGGACTATACCTGGAGAAGCACTGAATTATGCTAAAAGATCCAACTCTTTATAATTCTGACCAATGAAGGAAATAAATTTTATACTACATTTATTTGACTCCAGGTACTATGCTAAGTTCTGTACATACTCTTCCACGCAGGCAATCTGAACCTTATTTTGTAGATGAGGAATCTGAAGATAGGTATCTTGATCAAGTTCACACAGCTAAAATATGTGACAAACAAGGATCTGAAATCAAGACTATCGGACTCCAAAGCCTGGGGCCTACTTAGGGACCCGTTACTGAGAGACTTCAACACAAGCTAAAATCTACTCACCAGTGCATGATCTCTGGTCAGGCATTAGTGCAAATCCCGGTTGACAGCTACATTCATAGCTGCCTTCAGAGTTTGTGCAGAAAGTTTCACAACCACCATTTGCTATGCTGCATTCATCGATGTCTACAGGAAATGAAAAAAAAATTACCTTTTGCTATGATTTGAAGGTTTGTCCTCACTAAAACTCAGATTGAAATTTAACTGCCGTTTTAACAGTGTTACGAGGTGGGACCTGTAAGAGGTGCTTAGGTCATGAGGATTGCACCTTCACGGGTGTGATTGGTGTCTGCCTTATAAAAATGCAAGTTGGCCTCTTCTTGCCCTCTCTAAGACCTCACTTTCTGCCATGTAGTGATGAAGTCAGAAGGCCCTGGTCAGATGCCAGCACCTTGGTACTGGACTTCCCAGCCTCCACAACTGTGAACCAAGACATTTCTGTTTGCCGTAAATTACTTAGCCTCAGTGATCTGTGACAGCAGCATGAATACACTAAAACACTTTCTTCTATGTTTATGATCATGGCACATGCTTAAAGTTTCAAGGCATAGTCAGGTGAAGGGGAAAAAAGCCTCTGAGGGCAACCAGAAGTCATTAATTTCTTCAACAAAGAGTTAACTACACATCTACTATGTACTAAGGATGAGACTCTAACAGTGAATGGGACAGACACCATCCCTCTCTTCATGATGCTTACACTGCAGCTGGGAGGCAGACTGAATGGTTAATTCCACAGTTCAGGGCCTGTCACTTGCAGTGCAGGATAAGGCCTGGGTGCTGGGAAAGCAGATCCCAGTTAAAATAATGTACACGCTGGGGAAATTCTCTTGGTCAGAGATTCAGTTATAAGCATGCAAGTCAGCTGGATTGGCTGAGGTTCCAATCCTTTTCACGAACCTGAGTTGGAGTTCTGAGTCGTCCTGGGCCATGTTTCAGAAGAGTTTGGGCTGATTTATGGTTTTGGGTGGAAACCGTATGAGACTTGGCAGTTTTACATGGTATACACCCCAAACCAGGCAAAAACTGGCAGTTTCTACAAAGTTTCACTTTGACTTTGAGCACAATAAAGCCACAGGGCTTTCTGTGCCTCTCTTCGCAGCACGACTAAATCTACAGAGGGCCAACCACAAGCAAAATGCTCATCCCGCAGAAACCCATCTTTAAGGAGTGCCAGACACGGCCTCTCTGTCAATGTAAGATATGAACATTCGTGGTCTTCTTTCCAATAGTCATTCTTTGGAATCTTTAGCTGAGCCACACCATGTAAGGGCAGGGACTTCACCCTCGGCTTTTTGTCTCTTCCACAGCACTCACCATGTTTAGTTTATTCCAGGTGGTTAGTTGCTGCTTCCTGATCTGCCTCGATGTGCATGTTCATAAACAAACCACATGCTACTGTTCATCATTGTGCAAAACGACGTGGTTCAAGTCATACTTACTAGAGCTAAGATATCCTATATCTTATCCTATTTAAACAAGTAAGGGAGGTGAGACCCAAAGGTCGTAAGCCATTACAAAAAGAATTTTACAAGGGAGCAAGAACAATTAAGTAAAAAAAAAACTAATGATGAAAACAGAACCCAAAGTATACTGCTTGGGTATTTTAGGAAAAGACTAAATACAATAAAATGAAACATAAAACAAGTATGGAACTTACCAACACAAAACAGCCTATCGGGAGTCGAGTGGTAACCAGGGTTGCAGGCACACTGATACCTCCCCACGAGGTTCACACAGCGCCCATTGGGACAGAGGTTTGCACTCAGTTCGCATTCATTGATATCTGTTTAGAAAAGAAGGGCAAACATGCAAACGTAAGCTTCTGAGATATGGGTCAATCGACTGAGCATAAGTAAGCAGTCTGAATGGATTCGTCCTTACCTGTACAAGCCGAGATGTTGGGAGACAGCTGATGACCAGGTGGGCACTCACAGCGGTAACTTCCCTCTGTATTCAGGCAAATGCCCCCTCTGCATAACAGAGGATTTCTCTGGCACTCATCAATATCTACAAAGTGGAAATGACACATTTTGAAGACAGTGGTGATATCCTGATCCCCATGACCGGGCCAGAGTACCCAACCCCCAGTTGCTGGGAGTCCTGGCTGCTAACAGCTTACAGGCTCTCTATCTGGAGAATACTGTCCACCCTACTCAGAAAAGCCTGAGGTAAGGGATTATACCCCTCCCTCGTGGCTGAGGCCACATCCATGGAGAAGAATCAATTGAGCTAACATGAGAGCACAAAGTCTCCATCTTTGTCTCAAGCGAGGACAACCAACCATTCGTACTCCCGAGCTCCCTGTGGAATTGATGCAGCCGAAGGCTAAAATGCCATTAACCTGTTGGTTTATCATCTTCCCCTGCACTGAATGGCTTCTCTCACTTCCTGACAGAAGGACCCTTGAAAAGGAAAAGGGTCCTCAAGAAAAGGAAAACCCATTTTGCAAGAATCCCCATTTCAGATTTTACCTCTAGGGAACCTGACTTAAGACAACCAGCTTAGTCAGCTTCTTTTTCTAGAAATGTTCAGCAGAAACCATGTATTGGGTACTCTACTACGGCTTATGTTTGGATTGTTCTCTCTCCCCTATTCTAGGTATTGACATCATTTCTCTAGGGCCCATAACTGGTCTGTGAGGTCACCCACAAGCTTCCAGCATGAATTCCTCATTCCTTCTGCATGGCAGTCTCACTCTGCTACAGATGGATTCCTCACTCAGTGGTCATGAGACTGGTGCACTGGGGCAGCAGAAGGACCTAGAGCAAGTCTGTGGTCACTGATCAGTATAAGAGAAAAAGATATCAGGAGGCTTACCCATGCAGTTCTTCATCATCATGAATCCACTCTCATAGCCTTCATCACACTTGCATTCAAAGTCCCCTGGGGTGTTCACACACTGGCCTCGGCCACAGAGGTCTGGAGATATGCGGCACTCATCGATGTCTGCACAAACACAGCAAGTGGTGGCAGCTGAGTATCAGGAGAGCCTGCATTCTTGTGGCAATGTGGTAAAGATGAGGGGGTTGAAAGCATGCCCCTCTCCCGCCCCTCGAGGCCCATTCACTGACCTGTGCAGTTCCTTTCTTCAGAATCAAGAGCAAAGCCGCTGTCGCACCTGCACTTAAAGCTGCCGATGGTGTTTCTACACTTGCCGTGGGTGCAAAGGCTGGGTATCATCTTGCATTCATTGATATCTTCAAGGAAAACAAAATGTGGGGGGAAAAAGAAAAGGTTGGACAACCAGTTAGGAGGTCTCAGTACTCATCGTTGTAAACCCAGAATGCTGGAGGGTCCTGACTTACTGTCTTGGCAATACTCACTGCAAAGAATTTATGATGATCCAAGAGAAATGTCAATTGGTAAACCTTTCTAACCTTGAAAACGTCTACATTTTAGAAAGCATTATTAGAGAAGAAACAAGTGAGTTTATCTGGACTTTTAGGACTCAGCACATTGACGGAGTTTCTGTTGAACATTTCTAGAAAAAGAAGTTGACTAGACTGGTTGACTTAAGTCAGGTTCCCTAGAGGTAAAATCTGAAATGGGGATTCTTGCAAAGTGGATTTTTCTTTTCTGAGGGAGTGCTCTCAGAAGGATCTTGTCAGGAAGTGAGAGAAACCATTCATTGCAGGGTTAGAATAAAATGTTCTAACCCCCCAGTGACTATACTTAAAGCACAAGATCATTAGAATATATTGCTCCATAGCAATTAATGGAGCATGTAGCAAAATGAGATAGACATTTACTGCTCTTGAATATCTTTTTGGATATACCTAAAATATAAAAATTGCAATGATGCTATTTATAGTTTAGATTATTTGTAAATAATTTGCATTATTTTAAAAATTAATTATTACTATTATTTTAATTCAACCAGAGAGAGACAGACAGAGAAAGAGAGAGGGGGAGGAAAGTGAGAAAGCAAGCTACCAGGTCTGGGACTCGAACCACAGTTGGCTACGTGGGAGTCCAGTGCCTTAACTACCATGCCATTTTTTTTTCATTAAATTTTCTCAACACTATACATCATTAACTTTAATTAATATAATTTAAAGATCTTCTTGTGTGCTAGAAGACTCAGCGTATGTGCAACATGTAAACTGTAACCTGAATTTCCCCTTATAAAGTTCTCTCCATAGTAATACCTATAATTCAAGAATATAAGTTTATTTCTTCATAATGCCATGAGAGAGAGAACTGTTAGATTAAATCTCAAGAACTATTAAGTTTGTCAGCAGCAATGAATTGCTATAGCTTTTGGAAGCAAATTAGGAGTTCTTCTGAGTTTTTTTCTTAAGAAACATTTAAGAGGACCTTTCAGAAACTGTCTTTCCAGACAGGACAATTTTAACCCTCAGGGCTTCTTGGACCAAACACTAAGTAAGAAAAATAGTCTACACTTTTCTATGCAAAGATAATGAAGTGATATTTAAATGCTCATTTCCTACTTTTATGAGTTGGTTTAGTTATGACTTATAGTAACGAGGTCCAGACTTTCCAAGCCCAACATGAGAGGCAGCAGGCAAAACTGCACCAACGCAAGGCTCTAAGGAGAAACATAAGCAGGGACTTCTCTGCATTATCGAAATTCTCTGTAACCCATGTTCTCTCCATACGCTGAGGTAAACAAATTCTGTGTCACTGTAAAAAGCTAGAAGTAGACTAAATCTGTAACTTTTAATTTTTTTATATAAATTTAGAGTATGACATGATAAACTAAAGCGATATCTGAAATAGTGTATATCACTAGAGTATGTTTGCCACAGAAATGAATTTTGCTGTATTTGGACAAAGAGGACCTGCCATTCACAGGCCATTCACACTTAGGCCATTCACCCTCCATTATCTCAATTACTTGTTTGTTTGTTTGTTTTGCTATAGGTACGTGAGCTTGTTAGAGAGGCACAGAGAGAAGGAAAGTGAGAAATCACCCCCAGAGGGGATAGCCATGACACAATCCCTTCTCCTCCATTTTCCTCTTGGAATTTTGAGCACACATGGAGTCTTGACTGGTGTGTTTTCAAGCCACCAGGTCTGAACCATGCAGGTGACCACGTGGGATCCAGCCACCTTAACCTGGGTACCACCTGCCAAGGCCCCTGTCCTTCATCGTCTATAGTCAGGTGGATGGCAGTGATATGGATTCTTCAAATCAGCTGATGAAACGGTCCCATCACATGGCTTTAGCAGATGGCATTAACATGTGAGCAGATTTTCCTTTCATTGATTTCTGTTTTATGACAGTATTAAAATCCACTGCTTAATGGCTAGATGGGAAAGGCAAGGGAAATTCCGAGAAGAAGGGGAAAAATACATCTAGCACAGAGCGAGCAGTGTGCAATATATACTTCAGAAAGCTAAAATCTACTCTGCAGTAAGCAAGGGATGATCACACTGATGATAGTCACTGTCCTTCTGGGGTCATGAAAATTCATCCAGTTGGTCTAAAATAAGAAACCATCAACCACTGAAAACATGGTACCTTTGAAGAAAGGTTTTCCATTCGTTATTTCTTTTGTGGCAAATCCGGGTCCTCTGGGACAGAGCTCCTCATACTCAGGGGTATTTCTCACAGGACACTCCTCACATTCCTCGGTACCCCAAGCAGCCCCGACGGAGCAGCAGCAGGCGTCCATGCGGTGGCGACCAGCAATAGGCAGGGTGCACTCCTCGTCCTCATACCTCAGGAAGCAGGTTTCCAGGCGGATGTCTGTCAGAGGGAATGCAGGGAGGCTGAGGAGAGCTACTCTCTTTTCACTGCCTCAACTGCCAACGTTTTGTCAGGCAAAGGACAACACACAGCAAAATTTTCTATGTACTTATGGACTGGAATTAAATTTTTTCCTCAAAAGAACCCAGACTATGTGGTAAATATTCCTGCCTAACAAAGACTCTCTTCTCTTTGTCAGCCCTTATTTGCATGTCCTATTTGTGAAACCTTCTCCGTCAACTTCAGGTGATTTCTGATATTCCTACAAAAGGAGAAGTATTCAGAGACATTTCCAATGCTCTTGGGGAGATGTTCTCTCCCTGAACAGACCTACCTATCACTAATGCAGGTGCTCCATGATGTCCTGGCTTCTCCTTTCTGGCTAGCGAACTGCTCTCGTCATCACTGGGGCATGTCTGAGCTAGCTTAACCACCTATGGCTCTGACCCACTGGAATAAGGACCACCCTTCTTGAGATGAAAGCTAAACAGCAAAGGGAAGCCATTCATTCTTCTTCTCAAATATTTCTGACACATGAACATGAGCTTATGTGCAAATTCTTCAGGATACATGTGAGATACTTCCGGCCTCTACCTCAAATACATGGAATTATGAGGAAGTGTAAAAAGACTAACAGACCAGAGGCCAGAAGACTGGGATTTTGGTTTACTTTTGCAAGTAAATTGTTTGTTCTAGACAAATGACTACCCTGAACCCAAAGGTCCACATTGATTAAATGATGGTGCACCCTTCTCCCAGGAGGGACTGTGAAACTCAAGTGAGATTATGCATATGAAAATTGTAAAGTATAATTAAAATGCAAGTGCTATTTTTCCTTCTCTTTCTCCTTTACACTGTGGCCATTAACCATTCACCTAAAATGACTGAGCTTGCTCTGTTCTTAAAATGTTTCAAATGCCTTTGGGCAGCTTTGCATTTGGGTTGCCTATATTTAGATGCATAATTTCTAAATAAAGCATAATTAAACATTGAAGCATCTCTCAATGAAAGAACTTGGAAGAAGGTTCTCATTAAATGTTGAATCCTCCAAAACAAAGAAACTAAGACTCAGAATGGGATTAACTGACATCTTTAGTTATAAAAATATTCTAGGTTCTGATCCAGCTAAGGTAACGTGTACTGGTAGATGCTGCGACTTGGTGTACTGATGCCACATGCAAGACCTGAGTTTGATTCCTGGCCCACCCTATAAGCTGAGTATGGTGGTATACACTTGCAGTCCAAGCAACTAAGGAAGCTAAGGCAGAGGGATTGCAACATAGCGAGTCACTGTATCAAAACAAACAAAAAATATCCTAGATTCTGAATTCCCCTTCAACAATACAAACCATAGAGTTCCAGATGTAAAGTTTTTTTTAGTTCTAATTTATAAATGATCAAAATCCATTAACTTCATCCTACTCTTTTAACCACCTATAGTGTCCTCACTAAAGAAGCTCTTTAAGGTAATGTGGTTTCTGATACACAATGCAGTTGAACACCATTTCCAGAGTCATGGACTCAGAAACCAGAGACCCAAAGGATATACTGCTGATCGTGAGAAACTATCATAGTAGGACTAGAATTTGTCTGCCAGACCCTACAAGCATGACTGTAGGATTGCAAACTGACTGCCACTGCAAGCTCACAGGGTAGCTTTTGAAGGACTTACAGAGTTCTAGGTTCTATGTCCAGTTCCTTCCAAATCATTGGAGTGAGATGATTAGGGTTGATGAGCCCATTTGGGCTCCAGGAATTGACATGGAGAATCTTACTAAGACTAGAAATAACAATAGCCCAGGGATCCCTCGGGTTTACTCTTTAGAGTGGTGGCATCTTCATTCCCAATGAAGAGCTCCCAATGAAGGTTCCCAATGAAGGCATGAGCTAGTTTCCAATTCAGTACAAATGGTAACCTTCTTTCTATCAACCTGGTATCCTATAGTCAGTCGGTGGTATCTGGGAGCAGATGTAAGAGCTCTAGAATAAGAACTGTGACGGTGGTGATTTAAGAAATAGTTACATATCAACAAGGACTAAACATATCAACATAGAAACGAAGGAGTAAAGTTTCTCCTCGCTAACATACTCTGCTTTTTTATGCAAAGAAAACAAAAAGCCTGAGTTAGGAAGGCTTTGTTGTCAAGGAAACTACCTGTTTTCCATCATAATGGAAATGCTACATTGGTGAAGGAGTGTCTGTATTTGGAACCAAATGTTCAGCTCTCTGAACTGAGTTCTTAATAATATTCAAGAAATGATTAGCAGAAAAACAATGAGTTCAGTGTTTACCAAGGCAGATCCTTCCTGTGGCATCCAAAGTCATTCCATTGGGACACTGACACTTAAATGATCCCCTCGTATTAACACACAGGCCATTTTTGCATACTCCTGGGAACACTTCACATTCATCTATATCTAAAAAGAAAAAAAAGAGCATGAAGTTAATATATCTGTATAACATCCCTCTACCTCATTCACTCCACTTATGAAGATAATTATTCTCGCAACAGAAAGGCTGTTTTGAACCTGAACCTGATAAGTTCACAAAACTAGTCTGCCTCCAAATAGCTCATGTAGCATTTCTAAGATGTCTGAGTAACAGTTAGACTGAGACCACCTGTTACTAAAGATGTAAGAGGTTCTCCATCAGTCTAAAGTCACAACTTTTGAGCTGTAGAGACAGAGAACTGATGTGAGTTCTTAGGGAAGACTCTGGTCACTGTGAACACCTCAGGGGAGGTAAGCTTAATGAGACTGGATATTTGGAAATGAGTGGATAAACAGAAATCTGATCTTTCAAACTAGCAAAAAATGAAGTTTGAAGGTGAACACAGACAAAAATCCCACTGAGGAATATGTGGAGCCAGTCAAGAGTATCTTTCGAGAAGTAGCAAGAAGTCTCTGGAAAATGTATAACTAGTTGTAATTCAGCAAAGGTCTCAGGCTATTCTGTTGATGCTTAAGACTGAGGAGAGTTGGAAGACACTTGTGTTCATTCATTCATCATTCATCCAATCTCTCTCCAATGTACCAATCCTACCCAGTTTCTTTAATGAAGGATGAAACTTAATGTTGTTTGAACTTAGTTTGGAAAAATATTCACCATCAAGTTAATCCATAGAAAGGCACTTACTTGTCAATGTCAAAAAAGAGAAGCATCTGTTAAGAAATTCACACCTCCCATGTCTGTATAGAAATAATACCATTCCAAGCCAGGAATGTTGAGAAAATATTCTTAATCTTCCCTTGTAAGAGAGATAAATAGAGATGGTGGATTCTACCTTTTCGGGTTTGTTGTCCTGGCCACTATACACCAAGTTGTGCTGCTAAGGTCAGATAAGTTATTCACAGTGGGTCTGGACCAGAGAAAGGCCAAAGGATTCAGTCATCATTTGGAAAGTGAGACCTTGGGTGGGGGTTATAGTGTTCCTCTTTGTTTTAGCAGGGGAAAAACTTCATTTCATTCCACATATGGGACTAATTGCTGTTTTTAAAATTTTTCAGCTGCTGTGTCATGTCAGGTTGTGTTAGTCACCATGACCTATGTGTATCTGGGACTCCATGAGAATCATAGCAAACTGGAGGGAATCCACATAGACTTTCAAAAAAAGAAGCCATAACATGCGTTTTCCTAAATCATCCATTCTAGAAAATAAATAAACAAAAAAATCCAGGACAAACTAAGAAAAATGCAAACTTTACAGTCGCATGCAAAACTTCCTGATTTTCTCTTCTGGGTAGATAACATTTTGAAAGTAGTCATTCTAAATTATGATCAGCCTAAAACAAGTTTCAGCCACCCTATCCTTTGGCCACAGTAAAGTGAAATTGGCAAGAGCACATATATGCTTGTGAAATTAACATCTGTTCTGTTCTGCAGTTCTCATTATTTTTTTTTCCTCTGTTGCATATTCTTCACTGTGAAGTTACATGGCAGCTTTATCCAGTCCAAATTAATACAAGCATTCTTCGTGCATATAGAAGTTTATGGTTTATAAATAATCAGAAATACCTTCACATTGTGTTCCTTTAATTCTTGAATACCCTTTACCACATATGGGATCTGTAAAAAAACAAAAACAAACAAATTAAAACCAAATTTGAGATAACAATATCCAGACTTTGTAGTTATAACACAGTATAAGAAACATGAAAGAGGACCTGGGACACGAACTGTTGCTGTGAATGAGTGTGAGATAACAAAGCTTTTCTGTGATTGCATAGGTGAGGAAGAAGAGTAATAACATGTCTTCTCAAATAAGCTCAATTCCTCTAAAATAACTTCAAAGACACAAAGGTACCTATAGATGATGCTAAGCTGACAGCCAAGAAGGAAATTAAATCTCAAATTCTCTATTGATATTACCTTAAAAATAAGAATCACACTATAGGGTTAATGTAATAGGAATATGGAAAACACAGTCCAGAATTTGGAGACCTCAAGCCCTGAAGCATTCACACTACATAAATTCACACATTGATATATCCAAACATTGAAGTTCTCAGACTTCAACTCTCTGACAGATTTAAAAGTTCAGCAGAAATCCTTACGGCGTTTAGTCATGAATACTGAGGGCTTTTTTTGGTTGTTTTTTTGTTTTTGTTTTTCATCAATTAGCTCTTAGGAAGAAAAACGTGTATTTGAGAACAGCTCTGGGCCCCTAACTCTGAGGTTCCTGAGGAAGTCACTAGGAATTGGTCTCCCAGGGAAGCAACAGAATCTCACCACATTACAAAGTGGACATAGAAAAGAATAATGAAATCATCTATTATTATTTTTGACATTTCTCTTATTTCTCATTCAGCAATAATATAAGGGGGGCAGGGTCTTCAAAAAGTTCATGGAAAATGAATACTAGGGGAAAACTGTGTATGGATTTCAGAAATGTTTTGCCCCAAAATAAACTCATAATTTAATTCCATTTTCTCTGAACTTTCTGAAGTCCCATTGTATTGCATTGAGGTCATTCGAAGTGAATCTTTTCAAGTTCCCACGTGAACCTAAGTGAAGTACTGAGCTTCCCCTTTAGAGACTAACAGGATGGGTTAGGAACTGCAGTACTCATTTCTCTTACCGACTTGGCAGAGGGTACATGGGCTCCCCCAGGCAGCACCGAGGGAAGAGCAGCACTGAGACTTCAAGGTGGCTCCGTTGATGTTGATCTCACACCGCCCATCGATAACAGTCTGCCAACAAGTACCCTTGATGGTTTCTGTAGAGGAGGAAATAATACTTAATAAACACTGGACAGAATCTGTGTCAACAATTCAAACATGCACATAGGAATTTCAGCAAGAATAGCTCTGTGAAATAAGGAATAACGCTGTTCGTTTCTACTGAAATTCTTTTGCGGTAAAAGCTGGCATTAAATCTGACAGCGTTGGTAAACATAGACAAATCAGCCTCAGAAAGATAAATACCTATGCAGATGGTTTTTGTTGGATCCAAAGTACTTTCAGAAGAACATTCACAAATAAAAGAGCCTGGACTGTTCTTGCAGACTCCATTAATGCAAGGACTTGATTCACATTCATCGATGTCTGAAACAAAAACAGGTCTACATTACTGCTAAAAGCTGGTCTGGGGCATAAATAAGTATTTCAACTTTGGCCTCAACTGCTATCATATATTCTTCTTTCAATAGTAAAGTTGGCCCAAATCATTTTTTCTAGACTAGAAAGACCAAAATAGTAACTGAATGCATCTCTGTAGTACATAATAGAGATGGGCATTAGACTGAGTCTTTTCATTCATAAAATGCAGAACAAATGTATATGTGATTTCTGAATCACTAATTCAAATAGCAAATACGTAATATTTTCTTCATCTATTACATAATGGGAAATAAAATGCCAATTGTGAGCAAATTCAAAATGAATACATTTAAAGACATTTAAATGCAAAATAAATTGCAAGTAAAATGCCAACTTCAAGTTAATACCAGCAGTGGCTTATCAAATATACAAAAGAATTTTACTACTTGGCATAACTGTCTAAAACACAAGTAACACATTTATTCTCACAGTTTTTTAATGGCATTCCAAAAGACAGTAAAGTACATAATAATACAAAAAAATGGTTTACCTTCACAGGTTTTTAGGTCGGGTTTGTATATAAATCCCTTGGGGCAGGTACAGACAAAACTTCCAGGAGTGTTTCGACATTGTCCATTGTCACAAAGTAGACTATTCAGTACACATTCATTAATATCTGAGAAGTCAACAAAAACGAACATTTAAAAGAGCTCATCCCTGTACCCAACTTTTTGCTCTTCTAGCTTAGGTATTCAAAGTTATAATGATATGATCAATTCAAGTGAAGAAATAAAACTACTGAGGCCAGCAGGTGGCATAGTGGTTAAGGTGCTGGACTCCCACATGGCCACCCATGGTTCAAGTCCTGGATCTGGTGCCTTGAAACTACACACTGGGCACATGTAAATGCATGCCCAAAATCCTGAAAGGAGAATGGAGAAGTGATTACACTGTGGTTATCTCCCCTGGTGGGGGGTGATTTCTCACTCTCTCCCTCTCTGTCTCTCTCTAGCAAATGCATACGCCCTATGGCAAAAGCCTAAAAAAAACCCAAAAAACTCTTATACGCTGTTCGTTTTTTTTTTCCTAAGTTATTTAATTTTAGGAAAACAGAGGATGGACTTGTTTATCTGAACTAGAGATCTACAAAACTTTAAATTAATCGATACCATTTAATTCAATTATTTATTAGCAGGAAGAAATTACAGATTTGCTGGAAATCATTTATCTGTATATAACTGATTCATTGTGTCAAAGAGACTAGTCTTATTGATTTAAGGAACTACATAAATATTTAGAAAATGTGGTCCATCTTTGAGATATGTGTTAGTTCCAGAAAGGGTGTTTATCCCTTAGAATAATTTAAATTGTCTCAAATTATGTTTATAAAGTATAAGACAATATATAGAGTTTATAAGTATCAAGAAGATTTTAGACTTGCCATTCAGAGAGCTGAGGAAAACTCTGTTTTCAGCAAAATATGGCTGTCTGAATGAAAACCCAATTGTAATGTATGTAGGACTTGGATAATTCAGGAAATACAGCAATTATGCAGCTTATTCACCTCTTTGAGCTAAATTGCATCACACAGCCCACCATATAGGCTAGACATTTGTAAGAAATGCTTTGCTCATTGAGAGCAGAGATTAGATTATTACTTGACAGGTTAGTAGCCTTAACATAGAGGATACACAAATTTAGCACCAGGGGACTGCATAGTTCATGGAAGTAAATACACTTAAATCAGCAACACAGTTATGAAGTACTTGAAATATGGAAAAATCAGGTATGAAGTTATGATATTGTCTGAGTACACTGCACACTAGACATTCTATGCAAGTGGCATAAGGAATGCTAAATACTTCCAAAAAGGGTCCCTGGCACAAGAAGACTTCAAGTGGTAAATTAAAGAACATGGGGAATAAAATAGCACAATGCCTATAGACATATGAGAATAGGGAACTGCCTTCTCAGTCAGAACATACAATGATGCTTTGATGACTGAATGGGGGATAGTTGAGTCCAGCACTCAACAAGTAGTTGGTATTTGTCAGATTATGTATTGCGTTGAAAGAAAAAAAAAAAGAAAGAAAAAAACTTTTGTGTTTATTTCAATTTGTGCTATCTCTGAATAATTACATGTTCCAAAGACCTAGAGCAGTATCTTAAACCAATACCTTCAAACACTGCTCCTAAAATACCACCGATGGCAGAAGAGAGGAACCTCCTAACTCCAAAGCCCTAAATGAATTTCAGAAGGTAAAAATATATTTGAGGTCTTCTATTTTTCTTAAAACAAATTCATTTTTATTCTATTCCATTAAAGTGGGGGTCCCCAACCCCCTAGGTCATGGATCATTATTGGTCCAATAGGAATCGGGCTGCACAGCAAGAGGTGAGTGGTGGGTGAGTGAGCAAAGTTTGATCTGCATTTACAGTCACTCCCCATCACTTAGATTACTGCTTGAGCTCTGCCTCCTGTCAGATCAGCAGCAGCATTAGATTCTCATAGGAGCACAAAACCTACTGTGAACTGTTGATGCAAGGGTTCCAAATTGTGCAGTCTTTATGAGAATCTAATGCCTGATGATCTGAGGTGGAGCTGAGGTAGTGATGCTAGCACTGGAGAGCAGCTGCAAATACTGCATTAGGGCGATTTCTATAATTATTTCATTTATATTACAATGTTATAATAATAGAAACAAAGTACATAACAAAACCAACACCCTTGAATCATCCTGAAAACATCTATGCTACCTCCACTTTGTTCCATAAATAAAGTTGTCCCTGGTGCCAAAAAAGGTTGGAGACTGCTGCACCAAAGTACATTTGCTTGTATGTGAAATGTGTTTTGTCTCTACATCAAAAAGATATGCCATCTTACATATTGGTTTTGACACATTCTGACATAGCCCCATGGGTATAAGTATTCTGGTTTTAGGAGCCCAGCTTCAGGAAACCTGAGGTAGTCGGCCATATGCTACAAAGTGAAAAAAGCATTTAATAAAATCCAGTTTAGTCAGGGAGCAGCAATTAGAGTAATGGCTATGTCGCTGGACTCTCACGTAGTCGACCACGGTTGGTGTCCCGGACCCGGTGGCTTAAACTCATGCCAGGCGTGTGTGCGTGCGTGCCCAAGGTCCCAAGAGGAGAATGGAAGAGAAGGGATTGCGGCGTGGCCATCCCCCCTGGGGGGTGATTTCTTGCTTTCTGTCTCTCTGTCTCTCTCTCCGTCTGTCCAGCGAGCGCACACGCCATAGAGCAAAAACCTCTCAAAAAAAAAAAAGAAAATAAAAAATCCAGTTTAGTCAACTGGAGAATGTTGAAGAAAAAATAATGATACCCATGTTTACCATTTTCTTCCAAATGTAATGATTTATGAATTTACTGGCTGTTACCATCATTAAGGATTAATAGAGCATTGGAAATAATACTTGTTAAATTTAACAAAAAGCAGAGAGATAAATCATATCTTCTTTATTAAATTTATAAAGTATGATAGAAAAGCTGTTTTTCTCTCAATAAAAATAGGAATAACTTTATAGCCATGTAAGAAAGGCTCAGAATCAATAAGTCTGGTACACAATCATTCATAAGTTATCAAGATATAGTTATGTAAATTTTGGGTAATCAAGACACATATATGCCATGCCATCATGCAAAGTGTAAAGCATCCATTGTTCAGTGCTCTAAGCTACTCAAGAGCAGTTTCTACCAAGCAGAGCAAGGAGTGGATTTATGCATGATATGTCTTAGAAACAGGTGAAACTTCTTACCAACACAGATTTTCCCAGTAGCATCCACTTCATAACCCGAATTGCATACGCATTTGTAGGTACCACGGAGATTTTCACAAATTCCATTTGGACAAATATCAGGATCTAGTGCACATTCATTAATATCTATGCCACCAAAAAAGTTCAAAGTCAATAACATTCTCAAATGAACATCAAATAAGCTGTTAAAATGACATTATAATGAATGTAATAATCTCAGGACTTCCTGGAGAAAAAAAATTCATTTGGTGAAAGTTTGATCTCCTTTTCTCACTGTAAGATATTCCGACTTAAATCTTTCTTCCACAGCATCTAAGAGGAAGCAGGAATCTGCCCTGAACTACAAAATTACCAATCCTTAATCAAGCTGAAGAAGACCTCTTATAATTCTTCTGGTCTGAACACCAAGATGAAAAGAGGATCAAGGACAGAGTCCCAGGCTCCATAACTGTTCTTGTCACCTGCCTTCCTTCTCAGTCCACCTTCCATGCTGCCAATATTCATTCATTCATTCTTTCTTTCAAGACAGTGTCTTAACCAGTGTCTCATGGTCTTTATATCATCCTGCCTCAGTCTCCTGAGTAGCCGGGACTACAGGCATTCTTGGCTTTTAGGATAAGCTAGAAACCGAACCAGGTCCTCCCATGTGGCCCCCAGTCTGCCAAGCAGCAGGGTCTACCAGCCAACACTACCATGGCTGTTCTGGGTCAGCATTCTGAACATCCTCAAGACGAGATGATTATGTCCTACCTCTGGTTTAAAAACATCCTCAAGATGAAATCAAAATGGAAATCTTTTGTTTATTTTCTCCAAACTTTTCAATCTTCCATGTGCATACAATGAGTGCCCTTCCTACTACATCAGGAATTCTGGAAGCAGAACTACTCCTTGGTCAAAAGCCAGCTCCCACACCACATGCTCTGAAAGAGCTCTGGCTACTCTGTGGAAGAAGCTGAACTCTCCCTCTGCTGTGTTCCCACAGACTGAGGAGAGCAAGGATGGTCAGGTGCGACCTACAACTACAGTCTGTGAAGGGATAGTCTCAAGTCCTGATTCCTGATTCTCACTAATTAGGGCTTTCTTTTTTTTTTTTTTCTTCTACTAGTCATTGTCGTACTTACTTATTCCCACTAACTTAGTTATTATAAATTTCCTTATTTCTCCTCTTTCCTCCTCCAAACATTCCCTCCCCATCTTCATCCATACAAAATGATGAAATGAATCACGCTGAATGAACCAACAATCAATTCAGCCAGTCTTTTTTCAGAACTCTCCTCAATCAAATGGTTTAGTCTTATATTAATAAGATGACTGATTCACTTTTCTTGTCCTTCTAACACTTGTTCCAATTTTCCTTTCTGACTTTATTTTTATGGCACTAATATATCTCTAGTTCTAACTCCTACACTAAAATAGTTAATGCTCACCTACCTCAGCAACCTGCCATCACTGCTTATCCAAAACACAAGAAGCCTCCCTATTGCTATCTGGTAATGATGAAGCCCTGGACAGTTCAGGAACCATTCAAATGTTAATGGACAACAGTTCAACCAGCTCATAATCCTGAATGGGACTTGGTAATAGAAGATTCAAAGGAAGGTCAGGCTGCCCTCAAGAATGAGATACCACAGTCATTTTTTCTTGTTCATAGTCCCCAGTTAACCACCCTGTGAGAGTGCCACCCCCCTTCAGTAGTCAAATCCCACACCCAAACACTGCAATCCCAGGACCCCTGCGCCACAGTTGCTCTGCCAATGGGGGCTTCTGGGTGTCCCAGATTCGTTAGGCAGAGATGGGCAGAGAAGGGGTCATGCCAGACTGGTATAAGAGATTGACTAGAAACCCACAGGAAGTCCCACTGCTGCCTCTGCACATGCTCAAGGTAGTAAATTCAGAAAGGAAGCCTTACCGCTGCCTGCTGACGTCATTCCTGGCCCACTGCTGCAGAGTGCCTGATATTCCGCTGCAATAAATTAACAGATAGTAAATGATTCCCTTGTTTGCAGAATGGGTCGCTCCTGCCCGTGGCTTTGCACACATCATTTCCTCCAAAGTGAGGAGAACCGAAATAAAGTGGTAACGGAAAAAGAGGCATCTCTTGGGGGAGTCACCTTTACACCAGGCTCCCATTTTAAAGGCTCTGCATCACCGAGGAAAATGGCTTGTAAGGATATAGGCAAGTTCTAGCAACTCCTGGTGCAAAGCACTTTCGGAAAAGGTGTTTTTCCTATAACTCGATTTTGTTCACCAGGGAACACTTTACACTTACAGTGAAATGTGTCTGTTAAAATGTGGTTTCTTAACTGTTAATAAAACTCTCTCCCACCACCTTGGGAATGATTTTGTTTCTCTCTGCTAGCTGTTTTTTCAGTACGATCAAGTTCTTAACTTTTTCTTATTTTTCTCTGCAAATTCTCTACCTCCCCTTACAGAAACATGAGGGCACCTACTCTGGCATTTAAGTGATTTTTTTTGGGGGGTGGGGGCGGTTTTTGCCTTAGGATGTGTGTGCTCACTAGAGAGACAAAAAGAGACAGAGACAGAGGAAAGTAAGAAATCACTCCGGGGGGGATGGCCATGCCACAATCCCTTCTCCTCCATTCTCCTTCCAGGATTTGGGCACGCGGGCATGCATGCACACTCACACGCACCTGGCATGATTTTCAAGCCACTGGGAACCACGGTCGGCACTTTTTTTATTTTTATTTTTTGGAGAGGTTTTCACTACAGGGTGCGTGAGCTCACCAGAAAGAGACAGAGAGAGACAGAAAGTGAGAAATCGCCTCCCAGGGGGGATGGCCACGCCACAATCTCTTCTCTTCCATTCTCCTCTTGGAATCTTGGGCATGCATGCACATGCCCCTGACGTGAGTTAAGTTCACTGTGTCCGGGGCTTGAATTGCGGTCAACTACATGGGAGTCCAGCGACATAGCCATTATGTCATCTGCTGGTCCCTCAAGAGCACTTTTAAACATAATTTAAATTATTGGCCTAATTCTTGGCCTAAATGGAAGCAAATTATTGTCACCACTATTTTCCTTTTGGGCAAGATCAGGTGCTAAACCATTCTTGGTAGTGAATTTATATCACCATGGGTTTGGATGTGGATGACTGTGCTCATTGCTGGAAATCTTGAGAGCAAGTCCTCTTGGTCTCCTCTCCTATAACTGGAGGATAATGAAATGATACCCACTTTGCAGGGTAGCTGTATAGATTTAGTGAGATAACATATAATTGTGCACAGCTCAGGTACCGAGTGAGTGGAAGGAGCTGCTGAGCTAACTCACTAGTGTCGTGGAGACAGTGGTACAGAGGACTCATGCAAGCAGTCCTCAGACTGCACCACGTGGGTTTAGCCAACTGATCTCAGTGAGCAGTAAATGCCACTGTCTGAAAGCCAAGGGGGACAGAGAGCTTGCTGAGCAATGTGAGGCAGCTTCCGTAGCCAGGAAAAGCTTCCAATATAGCTTGCTTGACTTGCATAGTGCAAAGATGAACCTGAGATGTTGCATGGCTAAAGTTTCTCATTTATTTGATGAAGGAATATCCTACCATCAAAGTTTTCATGATTTGGCATTTCCATCTACCAAAGAGGTGGAGAAAGCAAACTAAATGAAACCATTTGAACATGTGGACCATTTCTGTGCAAAGTCATTCCAATATAGAAGTTAGTAGAGCTAGGTCTTAAGTTAATGCTCTAAGTTTTACTGCTGAAAGAAATCTGGTCTCTTTTGGTTGTCTTTTTATAAACTCCCCCTATCTGTGTGTGTGTGTGTGTGTGTGTGTGTGTGTGTGTGTGTTTAAAGGATTGTTTTACTTCATTTAATTTATTTATTCATTCATTCATTCATTCATTCATTTTAATTTGATCAGAGAGGAACAGAGTGAGAGAGAGAGAGGGAAAGTGAGAAAGCAAGCCGCCAGGTCTGGGATCCAAACCTCAGTCGGCCATGTGGGAGAGTCCAGTGCTCTTAGGCACCATGCCACCTGCCAGCCCCACCCTATGTGTTTTAAGTATTCTTTGGAAGATACACTTTGGTCCAACAGAAAATGTCAAAGCAAAGAACTATATGCACCAAAAGTTCTGGATTCTAAATCATGGCTCTTCCGCTCGTTTAATGTGTGAATGAACCGCCGATGCTCTTGCATACCAGTTTTCAAAATACATATATGTCTTATAAATTCAAAATATGTAAGAAAAGTTCCTTGAAAGATTAAGGCAAAATTCAAAAGGATGATATTAATAATATACAACCATAAAGTTGCATGAAAGTATTTTTGATAAAATGATATTTGCATGGAATTCAAATATTGCAAATAAGTATTTAACTGATCATATACAAAATAATAATTTGTATATTATTCACTGGATGAAGTAATTGATCAAAATTAAGGTTTCTTTCTTTTTGTTGGAATCTCTCATTTCTTTTAAAGTCTTCAGACCAACCAGGTGGCCTAGTGGTTAAGGATCCCACATGGCCAACCAACTGTGCGGTTTGAGTTCCCAGACGTGGCAGCCTGAAAAATAGGCTGAGTACATGTGTGTGCCCAAAATCCCAAGAGGAGCATGGAGGAGAAGGGATTGCAACGTGGCTATCCCTCTGGTGAGGGATTTCTTACTTTCTGTCTCTTTCTTTCTATCTCTCTACAGTGAGCACAGGGGCCCTATAGCAAACTAAATATATACATACATATATATATATAGGTTCTAACTCATTTTACTTATGGCAAAAAAATGAACTGATCTTAGATGTAAAACAATCGGAGGTACATGCTTTACATATTAGGTCTAACTCTATTTTAAGACACTGGACATCAAAGTTACCTTAAAATTGTGTTCAAATACTGTCAGTCTATTTTTTTTATTTCAATAAGTTGTTTTTGCTGTATTAATAGAAATAACTTCCAACTAGAAAGAACCTTCAGGATTATCTAGGACATCTTAATTTGTAAATGAGAAGACTAAGGATCCTTCCTCCATATTATTCTGGTTTATATATATTAAGTCATCTCAAATTTTTTCAGAAGGAGGTGGGAAAACTTTGTAGATAAGTAAAAATCCACAAGAACTAAAGCCCATTTGAATAACATGTCTGCCTGTGGACTGGGGAGCAGAATTCTGATTCCCCAACCAGGTCTCTTTTCTCTATGCCACACCAACTCAATGGCACAAAGATACTTTCTCCTCTAAGATAGAATAGAATAATCAACATGTAGAATGAACAAAATTCACAAATGGCCTTTTGGAAAGCTGTTGGAAATATTCAGGTAATTTGAAAATTATTTACTTTTACACTGTATGCAATTATGCTTTTACAATAGTTCCTGCAACATGCAAACATCACAAGACTACTTTAGAAAACAAGGCAAGTTGTAGGTGTTGCAGAGAGCACAGATGTCCAGATGTCACCAAGGTGGGGGAGTTCATATGGGAGGCACAAATGCACTGTCTATTCCAAATGACTGTGAGGACTTGGGGATGTCACTGGGGGGTGAGAAACTGGCTGGCCTCTGCCAGGACCCTGGGAAGACATCTGATGCACCTAGAAAGCCTAATGTCATCTTTCTTTGTCACTTCCATAAACACAGACTCCAGAGGGTGGCAGGATGTTGGCAGCACAGGGGCATCTCCACGATGCCACATACCTGAATTCTGTGCAGGACACGGCTGACAAGGTTCCCCAAATGCATACTCAGTGTTGGCACAACAGCATTCAGATTTAGTAACAGCACCAAACAAGGGTTTGACACACTGGCCTCGCTTGTATCCACCATAGCATGTGCTCCGCATGTGTGTGTCTAAACAGGAAGACACATCGGTCATCACAAGGTCGCTTCAAACAGATGAGACCACCACCACCATCAACCCCCTCTCCCCATAGTCAAAGTTGAAGTTGCTTTTATTTATCCATCGTCTCTGCTCTAACTAACAGAGAATACCTCTGGTAGTAGGGCTCAACAGAAAGAAAAAGACCAAAGCCCCAAAAAAGATTAATGAAAATACATTCAGTTTCCAAGCATTGGGAACCCAAGGCCAGACTCTTCTGGTTTTCTAGAGCTCATTATGGTTTACCAAATTGTGAAACCCTTAAGGGCTGAAATTACAGCTTACTCATTTTTGTCTTCCTCAGGCATACCCAGCGCTGGCACCTAATAAATGCTGAATGAATGATAGATAGATGTTGAATCTCACACCCTAATAAATAAGACCTTTATTAGAAATGTGGCCCACCCCAAAATAAACATGCAATTATTGAATGTCTGAATTAGGTGTGCTTTCCCAAAAGGAGAAAGTTAATCTGTAAAAGGCTCGTTGTATAAATCTGCAGATGTTGGTCAACTAAGTGTTATCTTTACTATGACAGAGGGAGTTCCTAGCTATGCCTGGTCCTTTCCCAATTCAAAGTTTACTGAATATCTGTCTTAAAAATTATTTGGATAAAACTAATACCTATTTCATGACAAGTTTTATATTTCTTATAAACCCATCTAAAACTATTATCATATATATATATATATGTATATGTATATATATATATTTCTGAATTATTCATGTTGTCTTTTGCATTCTATACTTGCCTTCTACATTTAATTAAAATGTTCACCATGAAATAATAAGCATATCCAGACCAATTGCAAAGATGATCAGTAACTAAGAATGATTGGAGAAAATAATTAGGGATGGCATTTGACTAAAGAAGAAATGGGGGAAGGAGAGTTAGGGAATCCCTTGTTTTTTATTTATCTCAGCTTATCTTTCTATTTCTTAAATTAATTTCCAATTTATACAAAAGGAGAACTAACCCCGTTGGTTTGTCATCCTGCAAATGTCAGTCTATCCTATCTGCTACTGTAGAATGCATTCATTATTGGTGAGCTCTATTAATGAACAGAGGGTGAGCTCTCAAGTCTAGCCATGGGTTTCTTACCGACACACACACGTCCATCCAGACCCACGGCCAGCCCAGGGAAGCATTCACATCTGTAGGAGCCGTCGGTGTTTACACAACGCCCATTCATGCAGATTCCAGGTGTTTCACATTCGTTGATATCTGTGGTGGAAGAGGTACTTGTTAAAAACAAAGTGACTTGGGAACCAGCAGTTAGCGTAATGGCTATGTCGCTGGACTCCCACGTAGTCGACCGCGGTTCGTGTCCGGACCCGGTGGCTTAAAAAACTCACGCCGGGCGCGTGTGCGTGCGGGCCCAAGATCCCGAGAGGAGAATGGAGGAGAAGGGATTGCGGCGTGACCATCCCCCCTGGGGGGTGATTTCTCGCTTTCTGTCTCTATCTCTCTCTCTGTCTGTCTGGCGAGCGCACACGCCCTACAGTGAAAATCTCTCAAAAAAAAAAAAAAAAGTGACTTTAACCTAAAATCAGAACATGTTTATAACTATGTTCTAACACTTGGGAATGGAGAAGATGAAAAGTAATACACAGCCTCAACAATAATAGCTCATTGAGATACAGTCTTGTCTTCTTTCTGAAATAATAAATTGCATCTTTGACCTAGACAGGAAGCTTTTCCTTTCAATACTCAGACTGGTGTCCATTCCAGTATCCCCCATGCCTCAGTTATAGGGGACAAGTGCCTAATTTAAGAGACCTACAGCTAAGGCCTTGACGGAATATCATAGAAAAAGAGCAGAAAATGAATACAGGTGATTTTGATGACCATTCTTGGCTGATAATAACACTGCATGCAAATGGAACCCAGCAAGAGAAGTCATCATTCCTTTTTTGTTTAAATTGCCAGAGGGCATGTGTGCTCACCACAGAGAAAGAGACAGAGAGAGAAAGAGAAGCACACCCCTGTAGGGCATAGTTAAGCCACAATCCTTTCTCCTCTATTTCCCTTTTCCCCTGTTTCTCCATTCTGTCTGGATTTGGGGCATACATGTACATACGCCTAACATATTTTCAAGCTGCCTGGACTGGGATTCGAACCACTATCAACCATGTGGGATCCAGATCCCTTAACCTCTAGGCTACAGGGCTGGCCCAAAGAAAAGTTACTCTTAAGCATTAGAAATATTTTATAGAATTTTATGTGCATTCTTAGGGAAGTCTAGTAAAAGACTTTACTGGACACATACTAATAACAGATTTTCCCCCTTAATATGGGAAGTAGAAAAAGTACCAAAATTGTGTTTTAGAAAACATCTAACACTTAGAAGCAAGTCATTTCATAACAACTCCTTTTAAAATACACAGCCGGTATATGTGACTATTTCCTTTCTTCTGACCTTAAAAAGGCAAATTGAGAGTGAAACACCTCTGTGTTTTACTTAGCTTGTGTTGTTTGGCACAAAATATATTCAAATAGTCCAAGATTCCATGTACAGATTGTATCTAAAACAGCAATTACATTTAAATACAGGAACTCAAATTGGTTCCGTTATTCTAGTCATCTTTTTGTTCAAGTGGAGACCAACAGTGAAACAGTGGAGACGACCACCCGAACAGCAACGCGAGCAACGCGAAGCTTTTCTAATGGGGACGAAGTTGAAAGGTAGATTCAGAGGAGCATAGTATTACTTAGAGCAAGGGGCTTCAACTGTCAGAGGATAATGAGAGAGCTCATGTTGTTTATCAGATTAGTTAGCTGCAGACATTAAATTAGCATTGTTGATTTATCTGTCAACAGTCACATCTTTGTAGGCTCAGAACTAAGGGTCCAGGACTAAGAGAAAACTTTGTCCTAGTATATAAAGAGAAAAGATATGACAAGGAAGAAATTCAGCATATAAGGAATTACTTTCGTTTTTCTCCCCGTTAGCCTTATTACAGTGAGTATATTCTATTCTCTGTTCACTGGAAAAAAGAAGACACAGGTAATAATACGGAGCTATGGAGCTTCCTTTCTTTCTATCTGTTTCTCCTTCTCACTCATCCTTTCGACAGACTGCTATCATCAGAGTAAAGCCCTCAAATTCTCAGCATTTTCAAATGAATAGAACCATGCGTTATTGATAAGAGACTATTGGTATTGGTAAGGATTGCGAAGGATTGCAAAACCCTGTTTCACCTCTGAAATCATATCTTTTCTGAAATAGTGTTATCTATTGGTCATAGTTAATGCTAAGGGCCTGTGGCCTGGGTCACCAGCAGACTATGGGCACAAAAGTAAATCGTAGTGAGCTGTGTGTATCAGCCAGAAGAGAATGTGTTCTTGCAAAAGGTCTGCTCACAAAGGGGCTTTCACATTTCCTTCTGTTATTTTGTTTGGAAGCCTAATTCCAAATATTTCAGCAATCATTGCCTTCTCCTTTCTTTTTTATTTGTGCTGCACTTAATTTGCACAGTTTGGCACTTTGTTTTATGCTGTCTTACATTGTAGACTATTTCCATGTGTTAATCCTGTCTTTCTACTTAAGTTCTCCCTAGCAGAGGACTCCAAAGTACAGATATCATTTTCCTGCTTCAAATTTGAAGAACTCAACTGTTTTCTCTTGCTGTGAAGACAGATTTGTACAATATTCAGAGCCATTGATGTGAAGGTCATAGAGAATGTAGGTAAACAACCAAGGCCTAGAAGCTCTTTCAAGCCTGGAGAAATGCACATCTTGCCAAGGACTGAATACTGCAAGGCTTTCTTCCACAACATCTTTACCAAAGCTGTCCACTAGGGGCACTCAAGAGAAGAGGCACCATATAACTTCATCTTGCTTTCTCAACCAAGAAGACCTCCACTTATGAACAGAGGATCTGCGTGCAGCATCTCAGCAGATTTCCCAGACCTGTTTTGAGTATGAGGTTCTATGAGAAGTCTGCTTTCAACTCAGATCTTGGACTCAAGTGCACGAGTTGGAGTCACTCATCCCTGACTGTATAAAGCTGGAGATATTTAGCCCTTATTTTTATCTGATGAATTTTCTTAAAACCTTGGTTGTCAACAACACGAATAAAAATAGACATTTTTGCTTCAACACCTGAAGCAATGAGAGTGTTTCAAAAGTTACCAAGCTAAATAATGGGTCTTGGTTTGTGCACTTCTTCTGCTTAGTCCTGTATCCCGTTTTGCTTACGTTACTCGGTAACACCTAAATAAATTATCGATGAAACACGTCCTATTTCTTGGGATACTTAGGGGAAAATTATCAGAAAGATATCACCACAAATAAGAGTCTACAAGGTTCTGTCCAGGTGGCAAATCATCACTATCAAGAGGCCTAACTGCCATTCCTCCCCAATTGGAAAAAAGAGGCAGAACTAGGCACATCTGGAGAGACGCCCACATCTGTTGGAGGGCCGATGGGCAGTTTGCTTTATTTATTTCCTACACAGCCTTTCAGGCTCGGGTGGGAAGGCCCCCAGTACTTCCTCTAAAATAAGAGCGGGCTTCTGGGTGTAAACCAGAGGTCTTTGGATAACTCAATCAAAGCAGGACTTAATTCAGGTCTCCCAAGCCAGATGAGGGGTACTTTAAAAATGGGGAAAATAGGAAGGAAAGGTGGTGCCTCTAAACAATGTCGAGAGCAGCAAAAGTAGGTGAAGAACATAATTTAGAGTTTTGCAGCACAAACCTTTGCAGTAACGCCCATCCGATGCCAGCTGGAATCCAGGCTTGCAAATACACTTAAAACTGCCATCTTCATTGATGCACATCCCATTAAGGCACATGTTCCGTATGCTGCACTCATCCATGTCTGAAGGAGGCAAAGGACAAGCTTAGGACCAGGACAGCAAGCATACAAAGGGAGTCAGCCCCGATGAACTGACATCTGTGTCTTCGCGGTTCTTTGTTATTATAGCATAATGCTCATTTTCACCCACATTATATTGTACCAAGAGAAGAGGGGCCATATGAAATATGGCTCTCAAGTTCTTCATGTATGATAAATGCATGCAAACTGTGGGTCCAGAATTGATTTATATTCATCTTATTATGTATATATGAGATTATTTTAAGGTACCATTATAACTATATATACATACTACACACACACACACACACACACACATACACATGAAATTTGACTCAATAGAAGAACTCAGAATCCTTTCTAGGAATAGTAATTTATGAACCGAAAAGTGAGATAGCTTGGTGGGCAGATTTATTTCACAGATTCATATTACTCCTAATACATTGAAAATGAAAATAAAATCAAAACGCAAGACTAATGAAATCTGAAATCTATCTGGGCTACATCTTGATTCTTAAAAAGTAGAAACCAGAAGACAGCTTGGAGTTTGGGGCCATTTTAAATAGGGGTAAGAAAAAAATGGATTTTTAAAATGGAAGAGTGAGCTATGGATTATGGCCATGCCAAGGAGCCTTTAGGATTCCTAGATCATCTTACTGGTGAACCCTTATCCCTGGCCAGTCCTTTCAATTTCTAACATACATTATTTTGTTTAGTATTACAGCTGTCTTGGGAGGCACTTGCTCTTCTAGATTTGGTGTGTTTTTAGTTACAGGCTTCGGCCAGACCAAGATAATTTATGATTTTTCCTTTTCTAAAAAAATAAGATTCTACCCCGACAGGGAATTTTGGCATTAAGTTTTTCAAATTGAATCACTGAGATAATATTCTGCCAAAAATGTTTCTAAGAACAGTCTTGACAATCTTTTAATGTATGAATAGATTCTTGGGAATCTCTCCCAAAGATGTTGAGAAATATGATAGGAGCATTCTTTGTTTTTTTTTGCTGAAGGTCTATGAGGTGGGAATTCATCAATGATAGTCATATTTTACATTTAGGAAAAAAGGACAGTGGAAAAAAACAAAATGTTTGAAGCAGTTCAATTCAAAAGGAGTTGATTAATTCAAGGATCAATTTAAAAGGCTGGTTCTTAATAGTGTTCTTCTCAAACAAATTTTACATTTTCAGATACTAGTATCTGCCACTATAAACTATCAGATAGTAATATTTTATTAATAGGGAGACACTCTAAACAGAAGAATTTTAAGTAACTACAGAATATAAGGGTTGAGGTGTGCCCTATTAAAAAAATATACAAATTCTAAGCATATAAAACTAGGACGCGATGCGTAGGCTACAGGAGATTCAATAGAACCAGGGATCTTTATATGACAAGAGCTCCTTGTGCATTAAAATGTTATCTGACACAGACAAATGCGAATCAAAATACAAAAATTGTAGAAAATTAGGTTTTCCTTCATGATAACAATATGTGATATATATTTGATATTTTGAACACAAGTTTTGGTTTGGGCTTATTAAAGACTCCTGATATTGATACTGCAATAGGAGAAAAGGAATAACACTGTTTTACTGCTAGGCTGCTATTACCTTCACAGTTTTTCCCATCGCGGGTAACGTGGAAGCCAGCGTTACACACACAATGGAAGCTGCCATCGGTGTTGATACAACGCCCGTTATTGCAGATCCGGCCATTCTGTAAACATTCATCGATGTCTAAAATCAAAGTTAAAAAAGAAGAAACAACTTACGTCAGTTATTTAAAATTATTTTCTCTTTACTTCCATTTCTAAACTTATGATTTCAGCCTTGGGTTTTAATTACTAATCACATTATGCAGTAGTTAGAAAGATATATGACAGGAAAAAAAAGTGGCTACACAATCCCATCCTGGCTAACTCTACTTTCTAATAGCACTCCTTACTTCAATTTGTAAACAAAACAGATTCTTTTTACTACCATTTTTCTAGCTAATTTTATGAACCAGTATATGCCATTTATATTTAACTTTGTATCTTTCAACACATGATTAAAAGGGAGGATCTTTTGTTTTTGTTATTTTTGTTTTTGAGAGGTTTTTTGCTATAGGCCGCATGTGTGCGCCAGAAAGACAGAGAGAGACAGAGAGATAGAAAGCGAGAAATCACCCCCCAGGGGGGATGGCCACACTGCAATCTCTTCTCCTCCATTCTCTCAGGATGCCGGTGTGAGTTTAAGCCACCGGGTCCAGGACTTGAACTGTGGTTGACTACATGGGAGTCAGTGACATAGCCATTACGTTAACTGCTGGTCCCAAAAAGGAGGATCTTATAGATATATCAGAACAATAAAGCAGAAATGCTATTTTTTTAAAAAAAAAAAGACATTTAATTCTGCCTGAAAACCACTACTCACATGGCTTTGGAATATCTATCTTTCTAACAATAAAGCAGAAATGCTATTTTTTTTTAAAAAAAGACATTTAATTCTGCCTGAAAACCACTACTCACATGGCTTTGGAATATCTATCTTTCTTATGGCAGTCTGGTCCAAGTGCAGGTTTTTTTTTTAGTTTCTTTTTTTTTTTAATCTTGAGAAAAAAAATAGAACTTTTCATAATCTATATATTTTATTTTTTAACATTTTTAAGAGGTTTTTGTCTTAGGGCATGCGCACTCACTGGAGAGAGAGAAACAGTGAGAGAGAAAGTGAGAAGTCACCCCCCCCACCAGGGGAGATGACCACACCACAATCCCTTCTCCTCCATTGTCCTCCCAGAATCTTGGGAATGTGCATACATGTGCCTGGTGTGATTTTGAAGTCACTGGGTCCGAGACCCGAACCATGGTTGGCCATGTGGGTGTCCAGCAACGTAACTGCTATGTCATCTGCCTATTTTCTTGTTTTTACATTTGATAACTATACATCTTTACCAGAATACAACATGGGATTTCCCAGCATGGATACACTATATATTAATCATTCCAGTCAAAGATATAGTTTCATTGTTTATATATTCCTAGTCATTTTTACAACTTTAGCTGTATTCGATCTACCAAGCAAAGTATTCGTACTTGGCAAGTATTTCCCTTTGTTTCTGCTGTGCTTGATAGTCGCTAAAGTAAACAACAGAACTCCACGTAGAGGTGTTACAAATGACAACACTGGGACCCCCCAGGTGGCATGGTGGTTGAGGGCTGGATTCCCACAAGGCCAACCATGGTTGAGTTCTGGACCTAGAGGCTTGCTCTCCTACTTTCCCTTTCTCTCTCTGGTCAAATTTAACAAATAACAATGATAGTAAATGAAATAAAATAGTTCTTTTTTTTAAAAAAAAGACAATACCTTGAATTGTATTGAATTGTAATTTAAAGATTAGCAACCAGTCCACAGTGGACAACATGGTAACCTGTATTATCTGCTTCCCTCAGTTTCTAGGAGGCACACACGTGATGAACATAGAATTGCCTTGTCTACACAGCACACAATCATCTCCAGGGCTTATGCCCACACGATCAGGACCAGGGAACAGTGCAGAGTGGATGGGAGTGGACCTCTCTGTGGATCTGAGGCCACAGTTGCCACAGTTGCCTGAGTTTAAGTGTTTAAGTGTCCTAAACATCCTCTGGACAAGAATGTGCCATCACAGCACATCGGCTGCTCTGTCTATCCTGCCTCTGCCCCTTGA